AATTCAGTTTTTAGAAGTGATTTCACATACTGTTTCTAGAAGACCTCTCGCTCGACCTCTTACTGTCTAACCAATTGTAACACTGTCCAGTCAGTTACGCTTAAGTAACATTAACTTCCATCCATCCAAATTAAAACGCCACGAAAGCGTTTTATATTTACATTGTAAATTTAGCGCAATCAATTTTAATGTCATATAAAACAACAAAAAAACATTTTCCTTAATGGCAGCTATTCAGAAACCCTTGTTTTATAAATTCTCGACAAAACACTCTTTAATTCATATTTACATAATTTTTTTCCTATAACATTCGATATCCTTACTTTTATTTTTCGTCTTTCCTTTTTAACTTTTGTAAATTGCTAACACCTAACATTTATTTTTTGGCCCACATATTTTAAATACTTTGTAATTTTTGAGTAAAAAAGCATAATGGTTTTGTGAAAAAATATATAAATGGCAGTAGGAAGCATGTCTGACTACATAAAGTATATATGATCGTGATCTACAGTCGAGTCGATATAGATATGTCAAATCAAGTTTATATAATTTTATTAAAAACTTCTGGGTGTCTCAAGTATCGATAAATATCGATTTCTGAATGCGAATGCATATGTGTGTATTCTGTAGCGCCCTGTTATCTAAGATTGCGTGCAGATATAAACAGCAATGAAAAATATAACATTACTCTGACAAGAAATGTTTTCAAAGGTGTATTTTTAAATTTGTAAGTTTAAGAAATTTATGAATACGTTTGTAGAAGTGGAGTATTCTTAAAAAAAAGTGAGATAAAAGAAATGAACACAAAAAATAATAACACCACTTTTCAAATGCGTGCGTATAATTATGAAAATTGGAAATAAAGTAAAACTTCTTTACTTGCTGCTAATTGTCTATTAAAGTAAACAATTGTAGTTTAGTATTTAGTTGCGTTCCTTTAATTAGCAATAACGAATGTGCATAAAATACTCTTTAAATATTGGATTGACCAATATTGATGTTCTTTTGCAAACTTCATGTGCTTGAAAGAGGAAATGTAGGCTTCCAAATTAAGTTCTCTGAGAAAAAAGCGAACTATTTGCACTATTGCAGTTTTTTTTTTTAGCTCAGTTGCAGTCTTAAAACGATTGCTTTGCTCTTGCGAATCAAATTTTGGCATAAACCTATGTCCAGATATAGTTAATGGCGTTTCCTATGTTATTACTCGAGCACTTAATCAATCGACCAACTTCTCTATAGAATTTATCATCCAATATCGTTTTTTTTAATGATTTCGGGCCTTTACGTACTGAAGTGATTTCCACTACCCATTGTATTGATAATATTCGATTTATATATACAAATTGAACTATCGAAAGGATAATTAATAAAACTAATGAGAAAAAGTCTAAGTCAAATATCTTAAGAACATGGTCTCTATAAACGTTAATCTCCAAAATTTAACGATATATATCAAGAATGCTTAAGTGGTGTTATTATTTTTTCGCTTCCTTTAAGCAGATTTCGCTTCAAATGAAAAAAAAATATTGAAAGAATTTCATGAGCAGTACTACTTCAAATTTATAAGGAGAAACACTATATTAAAAATCAATATTTGAAAAAGTCGCTACACTAATTGTTTGTTTTTTGATTCGAGAAAACGTGTCTTAGTGGTCCTATTATTAGGTTCGGAACTGTATATATTTATGCACGCGTTTGTAAATAAAAACATGCGCAGCTAAGTGTGTAAAACCTTTCAAGTGAAATATGGCAATAAAACTAGAAAACTAGAATTTAACAAGTGGATTCACGGTATCACTGTAGAAAATATAACTTTGAAATTTCAAGAAGATGGCTTCCCTTTTTAATATAGCTTGCGAAGACGATTCCGAATCCACACTGAATGTTATTCCATCAATTATGGGCATATGTAACTAATAATAAATGGTGAAAGACCTTTTATGCTACCCTATTTGAAATCTAGCTCTTGATGATTTCGATTTAATTACGGCAGAGCAGCTTAATAGTCCTTCAGAAAGTCGGTTGTTTATTTTATACTTTATTTTGTTTAAAAAATGTACAATGCATTGAAGGAGACGTCTTCGACCCCATATCACAAATGTTGATTAATCAGATAGAAGCTTTACCTAAAAAGTATTAAAAGAAATATTTATAAGTTCTTTTTAATTTATTTGTCTTTAAATTTACTTTTAAATGAAAAGTTCGCTTAAAAAAATTATAAAATATGTTAGACTATAAGCAAAAAGACATATTTCAAGCTTGGAACTAAGATTACATCACTACAAGGCAAGTGCTACTGTTCTTTCTTAGAAGGGTCATAGAAGGGTCGATCCTTAACGAACTTGCAATACAATACAAATAAATACCAGTGAGAACAAACCCGACGGAGAAATATTTTGATACCAATAAGTCATATCATTTGATAAGAGGCGCCACAAAACATGGTGGGTGTAGCCAAGAAATACCGGACTGATAATCTGTAAGCTAGCTCTTAAGTTGTGGAATATATAGATTTCTGCCGTTTTTTTGGGCGGGGGTGAGAGTGGTCCAACATTTGTTTTTAGCATTTGAAGTGTTGGTGTTACTAGCAATATACCTTTCCAATTAGGTACTCTAGTTTTCAAATAGTGCGAATTATATAATTTGATCAACTTACACTTTTAGATATATCGGGTTTTTTGACACGAAGTAAGCATTAACATGTATTGATTAGCCGATCAGCAATGTACCTTCCTGGCTGTATTTTTAAATTTAGGGTGGGCGTTGCCGATAATCTTTGAGAGACATTGCCAACAATCTACTAACCGTATTTAATATATTTAAAATTGTGAGAGATATATATTATGTTCCAAGCTTCAAATCTCTAGCCTTAAGTGTGGACGGACAATCATCATGACGGGCATTGCACAAAACCAATATAGTCTTGTATCTTCGGTATCAGAGTATAAAAGAAGATATGGGTCAATAACAAATCAATTTGCAAAACTCAAAAAACAGTGTGATCCACTAAGTTCTGTAGTGCTACTTCAGCGGATTCGAGTGATTGTGATTGTGAACTAGTGTTTTCACTCCCAACTGGGATAATTGTCGGTGGTTTTGCTTCTGGCAACATCAATTTACAAAATATTCGTGCGTTTCGTATAGAGTACATCGAAAAACTGTGCTGGTTTATCAGGTGAATATTTAACTACATGGTCAGAGTGGGGCTTCAAGAAATTTTTATCTTTTTCGCCAAAATTCTAGTAAGAGTTTAGTTAACTCTTAACAAAGCATTGCGCTTTCCCGCATTTTACAACATACCAATTTGGCTATTTTCCTTCTGACTACATGTTTTTTATTTAAAACTGTACTCAAAGCCAGAAAATTGTATATGAACCGTACTATAATCAGCTGTAGTCTCGAACGTACATAAGAAATAAAAAGTTCAACAAATACATATTTTGATACGAGAGGAATTCAACGCCTTTCGATGGTCAAGTCCTGTCACTTTGCTTTTTAAAATGATAAAACTACAGAAAAACAAGCTGCAGCTGGTAGAAGAAGAACTGGCTTCAGGTCCACTTGTTCGTTTATATTTTTGCGTAACATCTTTGACTTTAATATGATAAAACACAACTGTTTGTTTTCTTTAAAATATGAGTTTCTTGCAAACTGCGTCAAAGTTTTTAAAATGTTTAACATAATTAAGATGTGTTAGATCTTAAAAATAATGTATACCGAGGATTTAATTAATATTTTGGCGTTTTTCGAACCTCTCATTACTTATTTGAGATAGGTCAGAATAAGAAGGAATGTATTATAATAATTTTAGTAGTAATTAAGAATGCAAACCTTGGTTGATGTTATTTTGAAGCAAATATGACTATTTATTTATTATTACGCAAAAAAAAAACGAACAATTTTTTAGCTTGTATTAAAATTGTCTTGTAAATTGTGAAGATTAATTCTTGTATGAAAAACTGTTTGCTTATCGAAACATCTGAACAAACAAGAACATTATTAACATCAGACCACTGATTTTTTTAAATTAAGTTTAAGTGTGAGCACGTAGACTCCAATCTGCCAGAGTATGTAATCGTCGGCGTGCCTCAGATTGACGTTTTTTGTTTTTTAATGAAATTATGTTTTTATTGCTCTTAAGGGGAATCTTAATCAGCTCAAATTAAGCAATATTTTTGTTATACGAATTATCAATGGTAAAACATATTTCATGTCCCAAAGGTGGTTTGATTGAAATTACATTTTTTATACAATGAATCCTTTGAAATTGAGTAAAGAGGTTATAATGGTTTTGTCCAAATGTATTCAATAGGCAGAAGGAAGCATCTCCGACCACATAAAATAAATATTTCTTACAAGAGCTGGAATATGGGTTCTCGTGTACCACACGGAGATCAAGTTTGCTTTATTTTATTGATAACTGTCTCCGTTTCTCGAATAACGATACATATCGATTTCCGATAGCAATAAAAGCCATGATTTTAAAGGCAGAGGATTTTAATTATAATTTAATATAATTATATCCATTGACATCGACATATTAATATTCAATTTTACCAAGATCGGATAAGACACACTCAAGTTATAGTCGAATATCTATTGTATATCGACTCGGCTGTTGATGCTGATCAAGAATATATATACCTCATGGGGTCGGAGAAGCTGCCTTCTGCCTCTTACATACATTTGCACAATACATTTAGCCATTTTCAATATAAAATTGAATAATAATAATAATTTGTACATAAAAATATGAGTTATTACGTCATTTGAAAAAATATATTTGCCCTTCAAGACAAAATTATTTATTGAATTGCTCTGACTTCATAAATACTTTGGTCTTATATAGCTCCCATATTAATGAATCGCTCGAAAATGATGTAAAATACTTTTTATTTTATTTATTAGGATATGCAGACCACTAATAAAGTGTCGATTAATCACCGATCTAGGATGTTGAAACTTTTTAATTTAATTAATTATTATTGCTTTATTTTTAGGAAGGAATACCATGTGGACAACAGCTAATAGCTAATGTTTAATATGCATTTAAATAAATATGCCCAAACTGTTAAAAGAAAAAAAGTTTATTTACTTCAGTGGACTTCAATAATAAGTTGTATTTGCCTAATTCAACCTGCGCTGTCAACCGACGATGGAAATAGAGCGGCTCTTTCACATCATAGGACAATTTTGGATAACAAGCCGGACTTTAGCCACCAAGTCTACAATGTTACAATACCTGAAAACAGTCTTGGAAAAACATACGCTAAAGGAGTACTACACGAAGATTTGGCCGGAATTTCGATAAATTCAAATTACAATATCACATACAGAATAATAAGTGGCGACAAAGATAAGCTTTTTAAAGCTGAGGAAAGACTTGTGGGAAACTTTGCCTTTCTAAACATTCGAACGCGAACTAGTAATGTTGTTTTAAATAGAGAAAAAACTGACGAATACATTCTAAAAATACGAGCTCATATTAATCACTCTCATGGCAAAAACATCTCTAGATATGAAACGGAAACAACGATTCATGTACAAGTTTTGGATCGAAATGACTTAAGTCCATTATTTTACCCAACTGAATATGCGGTAACTGTTCCTGAGGACACCCCAAAACATCACAGTATTCTAAAAGTTATTGCAGATGACGCTGACTTAGGTGTAAATGGTGAAATTTATTATAGTTTTTTAATCGACAGCGAAAGTTTCGCAGTTCATCCCACTACTGGCGATATTACCATTCTGAAACAGCTTAATTACGCAGAGAATTCGCACTACGAGCTTACGGTTTTAGCTAATGACAGGGGCTGTGCTATTCACCAGCAGAATCACCAGGCCAGCAAAGCGAAGGTGTCAATAACTGTAAAACAGGTAATTATCATAAATTCGACTATAAATCTTAAAACTAAGAAATTGCCAAACACAATTTTTATATAGGCGCAATTATGAAGACATACAGTCCAAACGTCAACTGTTTTACTAATTCCCCGGGCATGGGCACCTATATATTCATAATATATATCTATTGATATCTCGATTCGTTCGTGAATACTTAAATTTGACTTACCGAAATTTAACTCCCGCTTACTTTTCTTATATTTACTTTGGAAGGTAAAACGTGCATACACAGAAGTACACACATTTATGTATATATATATATATATATATATATATACGCAAACGTAACGGGGTAACGGGGGACTGCAGAATTCACACAAAGACATATTGGCGCTTGCGTCGATTATCATGACATCTCTTTCTCACACACGCGCTCGCATATTTATGCATACAGAAAATGGTTGAGGCAGCTGATAGAAATGAGATCAATATGATAATATATTTTCGACAATAATTTGGGTCTTTCGTATCCGATCTCGATGAAATTTGGGCAGTTGATCAATAATATGCATATGCACATTATATATTTATTAGAAGATCCTGCCTTTAAAATTGTAGCATTTATAGCTATCGAAAATTTAAGTGTATCGATAATCGAAAAACACAGGCAGTCGATAAAATAAAGCAAACTTGATCTGCGCCTGGCATACGAGAATCTATTTTCCAAATTTGAAGTCTCTAACTGTTATTGTCTCTGAGATCTGCGTGTTTATACAGACAGACGGACGGACAGACGAACATGGCTACATAGACTCGGTTGTTGACCCTGATAAAGAATATATATACTTTATGGGGTCGGAGATACTTCCATTTTGACTGTTACATACATTTGCACAAAACCATTATACCCTTTTTACCGATTTTTAATTGGTTCAGGGTATAGATATGCTCACTGCGGCTATCACTGGTTGCATTCATTTAATTAGAAATTGGACTAAACTTATATATTCATCTTATCTTACTATTATCATATTCATATTCGTACATATTTTTAGGTAAACTTAAATGCACCCGAAATTTATGCAAAAACTTTTTCGAGTGTGATACCAAATTCCGGTGCTCTGATTTACGGCATAGTAAAGATAAACGATAAAGACATTGGAAAAAATGGAGAGATAAGAAAATTGGAAATAACTGACGGAAACCCAGATGGTACATTTCAATTACTTCCCGCAGAGGCAAAGGATGAGTATTACATTGAACTAAATAAGTTTGCGAGTTTAAATGAACAGCAATTTGCTTATAACCTAACTCTACGAGCTGAAGACTTTGGCATACCCTCCAGATCTACTTTTAAAACAGTAACGATACACATACTTCCGGAAATCAAAAATGTTCCCATATTTACACAAGAAATTTACGAAGTTTCGATTCCGGAAACGGCGCCGGTTAACATGCCAGTTATAAGACTTAAAGTGAGCGATCCTGATTTGGGAAAATATGCCTTGGTATATTTAGAAGTTGTCGGTGGAAATGAAGGCGGCGAGTTCCGTATAAACCCCGATTCTGGAATGTTGTACACACAAAAGCGTCTCGATGCCGAAACAAAATCTAGTTACACATTGACTGTGTCTGCCATTGATCAAGCGGACGTTGGATCAAGGAAACAATCGTCTGCCAAAGTAAAAATTACTGTAGAAGATATGAACGATAATGACCCCATTTTTGAGAACATAAATAGAATTATATATATAAATGAGAATGAATTAGCTGGCTCAATTGTTACAAAGCTGACAGCAAAGGATAAAGATTCTGGTGAAAATGCATACATATCTTATAGTATAGCAAATCTAAATGAAGTTCCATTTGAGATTGACCACTTTTCTGGAGTTATCAAAACCACTAACCTAATTGATTATGAAACTATGCGAAGAAACTACACCCTCCTCGTACGTGCATCAGATTGGGGACTGCCATACAGAAGACAAACTGAAATTGCAATAGATATTATTGTACAAAATATTAATGACAATAGACCACAATTCGAGAGAGTTAACTGTTATGGTAAAGTAATCAAGTCCGCATCAATTGGATCTGAAGTTTTTACTATTTCCGCTATTGATCTTGACGTTGGAGATGAAATATCATATCGATCAATATCTGGAAATGAGGATGGTTGCTTTAATTTAGATTCAACCACCGGAACTATCTCTATTGGCTGCAATTTATTGGACGTTGGCATTGACGATCGAATAATAAGAGTAATTTCTACAGATGGGACACATTTTTCAGATGAGTTAAGTATCAATGTACATCTTGGTCTGGATCACTTAACGGAGCAGGGCAATATTTTGCACGGTTATGGATCGTTCGAATGTCGAGAAACTGGTGTGGCTAGAAGACTCGCAGAAACATTAGCACTAGCCGAAAAGAACAACGTAAGAAATGTGTCGTACTCTGAAGTAAACAACTTGGCATTGACACCAAGCAGATATGGGCAAAACATTCATAGACCTGAACTTTTAAATTTTCCCCAAGAGCTTACGTTGAATGAAAGTATTCAATTGGGTACAACGGTAGCTGTGATCGAAGCTAGAGACCGAGACTTGGGATATAATGGAAAACTAGTGTTTGCAATTGCTGATGGAGATTTTGATTCGGTATTTCGCATTGACCCAGACAGTGGCGAACTGCAGATTATTGGCTACTTAGATAGAGAACGCCTTAGTGAATATATTTTAAATATAACTGTCTATGACCTTGGTCATCCGGCGAAATCGGATTCTAAAATTTTGCCCATCACAATAACAGATGCAAACGATAATCCACCTGTTTTACAAAAATCGCTAGCAACACTTCGTCTCACAGAAAATGCTCCGAAAGGAAGTATCGTTTATTGTGCACATGCAACGGATGCAGACGTGGGAATTAATGCGGAAATCACATATAGCCTATCTGTTGAATTTAAAGAATTTACTATAAATAAAACTACAGGCTGCATTGTGCTTAGTAAATCATTGGATCGAGAGCACAAAGATAAATACGAATTACATATAGTTGTAAAAGATCGTGGATCTCCAGTTTTATCAACAGAAGCAATTGTATATATATTAGTTGATGATGTAAACGACAATGCCCCAATATTCGGAGTGCAGGAGTATATGTTCAAAGTTCGTGAAGATGTCCCTCGTGGAACTGTGGTAGCGGTCATCGAAGCAATTGATAAAGATCTTGCCCAAAATGCTGAAATCCTTTTCTCACTCAAAGAGGATACACAGGAAAAGAATCTGTTTAAAATTGATAAACACTCTGGTGCTATACGAACAGAAGGTTATTTAGATTATGAAAACCGTCAAGTACATAATCTTGTGATCAGCGCTATTGACTGTGGAATTCCATCATTAACTGCCGACATGCCCATAGTAATTGAAATTATTGATGTGAACGAAAATCGATTTGCTCCAGAGTTTGAAGACTTTGTTTTTGAAGGTAAGATAAGAGAGAACATGCCAAAAGGCACTTTGGTCATGAAGATCGCCGCTCGGGATATGGACGGCATGGATCTGAATTCAAAAATATCGTATTCAATCACTGGTGGAGATGGGCTTGGAATATTTTCTGTTAATGATCAGGGTTCCATTCATTCCTTAACTCAACTCGACGCGGAATCTAAGAATTTTTACTGGCTAACATTATGCGCTCAGGATAACGCTATAGTGCCATTTAGCAATTGTGTAAAGGTAAGATGTTTAAAATCGTACAATCCTAACATATTTAACAACAAGTAAATCAATTGTTTTTTGTTTTTTCCTTAGGTTTACATTGAAGTTGAGAACGAAAACGACAACATACCATTAACAACCAAACCAGTATATTATGTTAATGTAACTGAAGGTAGCTCTGGAAAAAATGAAATAATCCAACTGAAGGCAGTAGACCCTGACATCGATCCCTCTCAAAAGATTACATACAGTATTATTTCTGGAAATTTGGTTGGATATTTCGACATAGACCCTAATACAGGTTAGCACAAATTCTTAAAAAAAAGTGTATAATTAAATTGCTTATTTAAAACCCAAATTTATTTAGGTGTTCTAAAAACGACAGAACGGAAACTTGACAGAGAAAATCAAGCAGAACATATTTTAGAGGTAAGTTGTTCTTTGAAAAGAAACAAAACAACAATACCTCTTCTGCATATATTTTAATATTCTTTTGATTTTTTTTCTGATTATTCACGCATAAGCTAAGACAAATTTTAAGTGAATAATTGAGCATCCATCAAATTTCTAATTCATATGTGAACGGCAATATCTTGAATTAATTTACAGTAAGAGTTCTCTATCCAAGAGACATCGACTGGGAGATACTTAATACTCTGAAATGAAGTGCCCTAGTCATATTGGTTATGATCTAGGTAGAAGCGCGTGAGACACTCTCATCAAAATTATCTTCTTGTTCGTAAACAATATTAAATATTAAAGTTATGACATTGTCTTTAAATACACGAAATATCTGTAAATATTACTATGTGTTTAATATAAAAGAGTAGAAGTCGAACTTTTGAAATACGGTCAATTTTGTGCTATTTTTATTCTACGTGATTCTTTTGGGCAAAACTTGCTGTAACCATTTTTTAAACATTTAAGAAAAACTACGTCCACGTTATTATTGTTGTTTCAAAAGACAAAAGCTAAAATGTAAACGCTCACGGACATAATTTTTAAAAATGCGTTCAATTAACTTGACGTCCACCTCAATGACTTAATTCTCTCTTATGTTGACTTAAACTACTCATCCAGATGTGCAAAGGAATATTTAATCGTATTAGTAATTTATTCACTGTACTTTAATCATTTCAGGTTTCTATATCTGATAACGGATCGCCTATATTGACGTCTACTACACGCGTTGTAGTGTCAGTATTAGATATAAACGATAATAGTCCCGTCTTTGATCAACGTGTTTACAAAGTTCAAGTCCCTTCTACGACATATATCAACGAATCTATATTTCAGGTACGTACACATTGCTTAACCATGAAACACAAATATATTTAAGAACACTCAAGTTTAATTGCTTGAGTAATTACTATGCTAAAAGATCTATGTTCAAAGTTCTTTGGTCTAAGGAACCGAATAATTTTAGTGTTTTGTAAAAAGAAAACTATATATTTTCACTCACCAAATTTCAAAAACTGAAAACTTTACCTCAGAAAGGACATAAATGATAATAAGTTATTGGCCTTAGTCGCATTTGCAAAATGTTATGTGAGAAACATTTTTTAAATGGATAATATCATTTTTCAGGTTCACGCAATTGACAACGATGATGGTGAAAATGGTAGAATAACATATTCAATAAAATCTGGAAAGAAAAAAAATAAATTTCGTATCGACAGTTATAGCGGTCATATTTTTAGTACAAAACCATTAGAACCTGATTCCGAATTTGAAATCAATGTTAAGGCCGAAGACAATGGAATCCCCAAAAGAAGTCAAACTACTCTAGTTCATTTTGGTGTCATTCCTGTATCTCCAAATTCTCCAAACGCACCTTCAATTATGAATAAATCAATAAATAATATAGTAGATTTGACGGAAAATGATAAGCCCGGTTTCTTAGTGACTCAAATTCTGGCAGTTGATGAAGATAACGATCAGCTATGGTTCAATATAAGTGGTAAGTGCATTCATTATTTTATTTATTTGTGTAACTATTTACAGCTGTTTGAGTGATTGGAGAGATCTCCGCATAAGCGCGATGGACTGAAATCAAGTTTATGTAAAGAGCCCTCTGTGTTATTTATAATATAACCACTTCCAGTTGTTGTTTAATTGCTTTATATACCGTTCCCGATTTTCCTTAAAATTGAATAATAGCTTTTGTAGAAATAAAAATACTTTATATATACATATATGTATATATGTATATTGGTTACCATTTTATTATTATCGAGTCTATTGAATGAGTTTTCCTGGTTTCAAGCTTCTGATCATAGCTGTTCAGAATGCCAATAAAATTTTTTCACATATTCAGAAATTCGACATCTCTTGTTTTGTCGTAGCTAACAATGAGTATTTTACTTTGTCAAATACACTGAGATTTCTGCATTTACTTTGCACTCCCCTTCAGCGTTTTTATCTGCCTGCTTCAATTTATGGAGCCTGGCCCGAGTCAATATAAACTTAGGAATATCAGGTATGACTTTAAGATGAGTCATAAAAGCGCATACACAACGAAAAAGGCTTGCAAATGTATTGATTGCTGCTTGCCGTTTAAAGTTGATGTCAATATTCGTTATTTAGTTATTTATCTTGGAGTATCGGTACGTAGACACTCACTCAAATATTTATGTATACCGAATTTATTAAACGGTTGGACAATACATGATCGTAGCAGCTAATGATTTTACACGCACATAGTCTACAGCAAACGTTATCATCTTTTTTTTCTGCTTTTTCGGACGTCTTGTTGCTAACTTATGTTATAAAAGTTTTAAGCATTTACTTGTTAGGCTGCCCTTAGGGCAAAAGCTCGTTAGTTAGTTGCAATATTTTCACTCTGGAAAATTATGTTTCATGTACGTGCCAAAAAGAATGACACATCTCCGACTCAATTCTATTCTAGATCAAAAAGATCAATTTTTAAATTTTAAATATATGTTGAAGGTACAAAATTTGTTACATTGGGGGGTCTGTTTCATCGATGATCAGTAGCCCTAAATATAGTAGAGTAAATTTCAGTTCTCCAAAGTTAGGCGATAGGCTTGCGGGAGCTTCAATGAAAATTATAACTATATATGTGTTATATTAAATTACAAATTTGTATACCTTGTATCCAATAAAAACGGATAAGCAGTGTATGAAGAAGTTTCCCATCCCATAAGGTGTGTATAATCTTGTTCAACACCAGCAGCTGAGTCGCTATACTCATGTTCGTTCGTCTGTAAACATAAAATATATTTACATCCTTCACTCTATTGAACAGCATAAAAATGTTTTTTTTTTTTTAACAATTGCTTAGACCTTTAAAAAAAAAATTTTTTTTTCTTATAGGTGGAAATGAAGAAAACCATTTTTATATTGGGAGAGATTCCGGAAATGTGCTGCTTTCGAAATATTTGGATTACGAGACAGTGACATCTTATAATCTAACTATTAGTGTAACTGATGGTTCAAATATAGTGTACACGTGGCTATTCATTCAAGTTGTCGATACAAATGACAATGCTCCACAATTTACGAAAGAGATATACCATGTAAATATTTCTGAGAACATTGATGAAGAATCTGTTATTATGCAACTACATGCCACTGATAGGGATGAAGATAAAAAGCTATTTTACCATCTACATGCTACACAAGATCCATCATCCTTAACACTGTTTCGTATTGATTCTATAAGTGGTAACGTGATAGTCACCCAGAAGCTGGATTTTGAAAAGACATCGCAGCATATACTAATTGCTTTTGTTAAAGATCAAGGAACACCAGGAAAGAGGAATTACGCAAAAATAATAGTCAATGTACATGATCACAATGATCATTATCCAGAGTTCACAAGAAAAATTATTCAAAGTAAAGCACCCGAAAGTGCAGCGATTGGTTCGAAACTTGTTCAGGTTACAGCCATTGACCGAGATAGTGGCCAAAATGCTGAAATACATTACTCGATAATTACCGGTAACGTGGGCAGTATGTTTGAAATCGATCCCAAATTTGGAATTGTATACTTGGCTGCCTCTTTGGACATCAATAAAATGCAGGAGTACATGTTGCAAATAAAAGCTGTGGACCTTGGTCATCCGCCATTATCGTCTCAAGTGCCTGTGCATATCATTGTCACTATGTCGGATAACGATCCTCCTAAGTTTTTTAACAACTTTGTTTCACTGGAAATGTTCGAAAATTTGGGCATTGGATCATTTGTAACACAAGTTGAAGCTCGATCGTCTTCATCAGTTTTCTTCGATATCATCGCTGGCAATGTCAATGAAAGCTTTCGGATTAATCCGTCTACTGGGGTTATTGTTATCAACTCCAATGTCGATTATGAAATAAACAGGTAATTAAAAGATATAATATATATTAAAACAATTGCGACTCAAAAGAATTCACATTTCAGAATGTTTAATCTAACAATCAAGGGAACTAACATGGCATCTGCGTTTTCCCATCAAAATGTGATAGTGCACGTGTTGGACGTAAATGACAATGTACCGAAATTTCTCCAAACTGAATATATCGGAACTCTTTCAGAGTCCGCCAACTTGGGCTCTTATGTACAAAAAGTTGATGAAAAAAAACGGTACGGTCACATTTTCTTGATGTTATATTTTGCCTGTTATATTTTGTATGTAAATTTTCTCTATATTTTAGTCATTTAACTGTAAACGCATTTGACGCAGACGTTGGATTAAACGGAATGTTGCAATACAAAATCCTTGATGATTTGGCGAAAAATGTTTTTAAAATTGATTCCACAACAGGGGCGATTGAAATTTTACGCAGCTTGGATTATGAAAAGAAGTCAAATTATTCATTTTTTGTGACGGTAATATCTTGAAATTGGAACATTTAATATCTAAATAATCTGCTTTTATTGTGGCACAGTTTGTTTAATGACTGCACAGTTTTTCATTTATTTCATTATTAAAAAAAGCTAATGATGCATTATTTTGAATTTTACTTTTATAGGTTAGTGACATGGGTAAACCAAGCTTACATTCGACTACAAAAGCTCACGTAGTAATCCTCGTCACCAATGTAAATGATTGCCCACCAGTATTTAAGGATAGAGATCTTAACGTCACTTTGTTTCTACCAACGTTTGAAAATGTATTTGTTGCTCATATTGGTGCAATTGATGCAGATAACGATGTCATTCGTTATGATATTGTTGACGGAAACAACCCAGAATGCTTTGAAATACATCCACTAACTGGCGTTTTAACGACAAGGTAATTTTATTTTTCAACAATATTCTTGCAGATGAAATGGTAATTTTTCTAAGCAAATTAGATTATTAGGAAAATGGCAAGCTATATCGATATAGAAAATTCTGTTCCCAATTGTCATTTTTGTTTGTCTGACTAAATGATCGTGTTAATATCTAAAGTACTAGAGCAGTTGACAATAATTTTACTGGGTGAAACACCTTGATATCCACCGATAAATTCGATTATATAATCATATCATATGCTCAATAAAAATGGAAGGAAAATATGTTAGAAAGTTATGAAACTGACAAGAGAAAACAGCATATCCGTTGACATACATTTTATATTGTTTCAATGGTGCATTGTTCATCATTAAGGTGATCAAATGGGATCTAATGCGACTAAAAGTTGTGAGCATACATTTTGAACACTGAAGTTCCAATAGCAGGTACGGCCAGACAGAAACAGCATAACGGACATTGCACTAAACCATACATTCTTTAGTATCCTGGTAGTTTGGGAAAAATGAAATTATTTAGGTCCAAGGCTTCAAGGCTTAGGCCAAGACTTCTTAAACTTTTGAAACAATTTTAACTTTTTTTTTTAATAAGAGTATTTGGGAATAAGAGTGCGAATGAAGTTTCATAGAAATTATTAACACATCTCATATCATATCAACTATTGCAAACAAAATGAAACATCGATAGTTCGATCATGATATTTATGTTATGATTGATGCAAAAACTTGAATATTAAAAAAGTGAAGTAAATGAAGAGGAATTGATAATTTTTTTTTCAAAAATTTGTTTTTGCAACTTTAAATTGTTAAGATTTATTATTGTAATTGTTTTTCTTTTATTTTAGAAATGCCGAATTCTTAAACAGTGAATATAATTTGCACGTCCGCGCCTCGGATGGATTGTACTCTACCATTCTACTCGTAAATATCCATATTGAGGCAATAGTGAATTCAAATTTCGTATTTCAAAAAAAAATATACGAGTTTTCTGCTTTCGAAAATACAACAAAAGTTACGACAATAGGATTGATAAATGTCATTGGTAATGCATTGAATGAAAATGTGGAATATAGAATTCTGAATCCAACAGAAATGTTTACAATTGGAATAACTTCTGGAGCTATTAAAACTACTGGCATAATCTTTGACCGCGAAACACAAGATATGTATAAGCTCTACTTTGAAGCAAAGTCAACCGTATTTAGTGGAGACAACATTAGTACTCGTAGAGCACTTACTTCAGTGTATATTTCTGTGCTAGACATAAATGATAATTGTCCAATGTTTGTCAACATGCCGTATTACGCTTCTGTATCTGTTGGCTTCACGAAAGGAACCATTATATTGAAGGTGAAAGCAATAGACTTGGACAGTGCAGAGAATGGAGAAGTTCGGTATGAACTGAAAAAGGGAAACGGTGAACTTTTTAAAATAGATAGAAAGACTGGCGAGCTGTCAATCAAACAAACAATTGAAGGCCATAACCGCAAATACGATTTAACAGTTGCAGCATGCGATGGTGCTGTAATTTCATGCTGTACCGAAGTTCCGGTTCAAATAAAGGTATTCACAATGGTTTATATTTAAAATAGGCGAAATCGAATTAATTGTTGTTTATTTTATTATCTAGGTGATTGATCGTTCAATGCCAGTATTTGAAAAACAGTTTTATTCTGTGAGCGTGAAGGAAGACGTTGAAATGTATTCTGCCCTGTTTATATCTATCCAAGCCGAGAGTCCATTGAAAAGGAAACTGATTTATACAATATCAAGTGATGATTCAGAACAATATTTTGAAATTGATTATAGAACAGGTAAAATATATTTGATAACCTCTATGTGTTAAATATGATAAGCTTATTATTATGTATATTTGCAGGGTCCTTGTGTGTGGTAAACGAACTAGACTATGAGGAGAAAAATGCCCACGAGATATCAATCCGTGCTACTGATAGCATTTCAGGCATTTACGCAGATGTTTTGTTATCCATTACAGTAATTGATGTAAACGATTGTTATCCAGAAATTGAAAGTGATAATTACAATATTACCTTACCGGAAAATACGCCATTTGGATCACAAATATTACAAATAAACGCAACTGATTTAGATTCTGGTGCAAATGGAAAATTATCATATTTCATTGAATCCATTGATGGTCGCAATGATTCCGATACTTTTTACATTGATGTTAGTGAAGGCTCCTTGTATCTAAAAACACCGTTGGACTATGAGCTAAAGCGTTATCACCACGTTGTTGTGCACGTTAAAGACCATGGCTCTACGCCACTAACTTCGAAATGCAATGTCTTTATTACAGGTAAATCACATTACATTTATTAACAGGTTAAAAAATGTATTATTTATTTTCTGCTTATGAAAATGAAGTAGCTTAAAACTTGAATTTTTTTCAACCGAAATTTCGCTAATTTGTAATCCATGTATACGAATAGTTTTGGCGGATTCGCTAAAATATCCATAATTTGTTGATTATTTGTCGATATACCTCAAGGAATATATTCCCTAGACATTAAAACTTAAGAGCGGCTGTAGTTCTAGAAGCTTGAAACTGATGTTTACCTAAAAGCTTACCCCTGAATTGAGGAACTCATTAATCAACAACCCATCCTAGCAGATGCATGCCAGTTGCCCCAGGCATATCCCGTCTTTGATACATCTTTCATATAAACAGGTTGTTACTCACTCGGCTGAGAGATGAATGTCAATTTATAATTCAAAGCAATATATTTGTGCTCAATATTGTAATATTATATTTAAGAAAATACATGATATATATTTAATAGGCTTTTCATTATGGTATTTATAGAGAATAGTTACAATATGTTACTTATAAATGATTGTTTTAATTGCAGTTAAAGATCTCAATGATAACTCACCGCAATTTATCGAGCCATCTTTCAATACAAAGTTATCAGTAGCAGCGACTCGAGGTCAATTTGTTGCATTGCCTAGGGCTTTCGACAATGATACATCCGACATTGATTTTTTGCAATACCAAATTGTTGACGGAAACGATTTACAAACGTACAGCATCGAAAAGCAAACTGGAGTTATTTCACTTCAAAATATGTTGAATTTCACCGACAAACCTAATACAATTTTAAATATATCTATTTCTGATGGAGTTCACACAAGCTTTGCACGGTTAAAAATTACATTAGTTCCAGAAAATGTACACAGTCCGCAGTTTGAGAACATAGTTTATAAGGCAACGATAATGGAAAACCTGGCGCATGGACATGAAGTAATCACTGTACGTATATTTTAGGGTGCGAATACGAAGCTTTCGCGATTTCTGTTAACGAAAAATTTGTCTTACAGGTTAAAGCAGTTGACGATGATTTTGGTCAGTATGCCAGTCTCTACTACGAAATTGTATCTGAGGAAATGAAGCAGTATTTTGAAATCAACCGTAATACTGGTTTAATTACATCGAAAGTATCATTTGATCGAGAAATTAAAGATGAGTACGTGCTACAATTAAAGGCAATTGATGGCGGAAGTAAATTTGGTTTTGCTTCATTAAGAGTGACTATTGAAGATGCTAATGATAATAGCCCACATTTCTTTTTAAAAGAGTACAGAATGGTAGTAAGCTCTTCTAATAATCCCAATGAAACCATATTGACCGTAAGTATTATGTACCTACTATATTTGTATTTACACATTTGTTTAAAAAGCGCCTAGGTGGTAAACTTAATACTCCCAATTCTTTCAAAAACTATTTTTGTGAGACTTCTCTTTAAATAATAGTAGTTACAAGGGGTATAAGAATATTGAGCAAATCTGCGTAACATAAATTATATTAAATTAAATCTTCAGCCACATTTTTTATCATAATATTTTATGTCTGTCTATTAGCTGGTGTAAGTAAGCAAGTCGATCTTAGAGACTCCATTTTGAAATATGAGTTCTGTTAATCGATAGCTTCTATTCCTTCAAAATGTATACAAATAAATTTGCCAACTTTATTTTTTTTCCTTTGTTTGCATGTTGTTGTTGTTGAGCTTATACACGTGTTTTTTTCTTTACTTCCATACTCCAAAGTACATGTTCAGTCAACTACTGAAACTATTAGGTATTATTGAGAAATTAGAATAGGAAAGATTCATTAATCTTTAATCTGTTCTTGGCCAACATTAAACAGCACAACAAGTTGACAAATCAAGGCTAATTAAAGTAGCATTCGAACTAGTTCACAAAGGAATATACATAAAGAAAAACATGGCAATTGAAATTTCTTTAATTTTCTCATAGATTTTTTTTTTTTAATATTATGCGATAAAAAAAATATTTTTATTTACGTTTATGTGACTAACCGTTTTTAATATATTTTAGGTTAATGCTATGGATAAAGACTTGAATGCAAATGGCGTTGTAAAATATACTATTGTGCCGCACTCAATGGAACCCAATTTACGAAACAAAATTCATTTGAATGAAAGTAATGGTGACATCGTTCTCATAAGTGATCCAAAACATTTTGAAAAAGGCGTTTTTCAATTTTTTATTCGAGCCTTTGATTCAGGAGAGACATCATTGCATACCGACATTCCAGTGACTCTTGAAATAGTAGATTCTGATGTAATAATTCCAACTTTTGAAAAAAAGGACATCAATCTCAAAGTTATAGAGTCTACATCTCCGGGAACGGTGTTAACAAAACTACATGTGTATGGAAATTATTCGTTAAAATTGTCAATTTCTGAAGAGAGCTCAATTTTTGCTATATCTGAAAATGGAGAATTGATTCTGATGCAAACTTTGGATCGTGAACAAAATGACTCACATTATTTAGTTATCGTGGCCGAAACCGCTACCCTACCTGTTCTTTTTGCATATGCTGAAGTATACATACATGTTACAGATGAAAACGATAATTACCCGAAATTTGATAATACAATTTACAGTTGTGAGGTAGCGGAAAATACAGAAAAAGTCGCATCTATACTTAAAGTAACGGCAACTGATGCAGACACAGGATCGAATGGTGATGTACGTTACTACTTTGATGAGGAATCAAATGGTATACGAAGTATTTTTGACATCGACATATATACCGGCTGGATCACCCTTTTGTCATCCTTAGATCGAGAAGTGCAATCAGAATATAATTTAAAAGTAATTGCCACTGACAATGGTCACCCCAAACATGACTCAAAAGTTCCAGTGTCTATTAAAATTATCGACTACAACGATAACGGGCCGCAATTCAAGTTACCCATGGATCACATTTACATTTCAGAAACAGCGCTTCCAGGCACTGTATTAGTAAATTTGTTGCTTATAGACCCGGACATAGAAAAGCAAACTTTGGACTATTACATAATTTCTGGAGATAGACAGTCTCAATTTCAAATTGGCAAAACAGGAGAATTGTTTATATCAAGACCTCTGGATCGAGAGGAAGTATCATTTTACAACCTGAGCATCTTAGCCACTGATGGAAAGTTCACAACGGAGTCGAATGTTCACGTGCACATAAAAGATGTAAATGATAATATGCCATACTGCTTAAAGCCTCGTTACCACATCACAGTCGATGAATCTACACCAATTGGGTCAACCATAGTTGAAGTTAAAGCAATAGATTTAGATTCCAGCGATTTTAAGCTACGTTATTACATGTCCGGAAAGGGGTCCGATGACTTTGTTATTGGTAAGGACAGTGGAGTATTAAAAGTAGCAAAGACTCTTGACCGAGAAAAAATCGCAAAATATAAATTATATGCTCACGTTCAGGATGGCAAAGAATTCATAAGAGAGTGTGTTTCTGAAATAATCATTACCGTAAATGATATCAATGACAATGCGCCAATTTTCTCTCTGACCAATTATCGAGTAAGCATACAAGAAGATGCTCAACTGCAAACACTGGTGACAAAGGTACACGCTACTGATAAAGATTTTGGTATGAATCGAAAAATCAAGTACTCTTTAACAGGAACAAATAGTGATTATTTTGGAATTTCCAAATCTACCGGAATTATAAAATTAGAAAAAAACCTTGACCGTGAAACAATTTCGTTATATAATTTCACAGTTAAAGTGGAAGATTTTGGTAAACCAATTTTGTCTTCAGTTGCAAATATTGTTATTAATATTTTGGATATAAACGACAATCCACCAGAATTCAGCTTACGACAATACAAAAGTCACATGTATGAAAATGTCACACGAGGGTCTGAAGTTTGTAAAATTCATGCTACATCCAAAGACATTGGCGTAAATGCTGAAATTTTATATTATATAATTAGTGGCAATGAACAACAAAAATTTAATATTAATTCAAGTACAGGCGTATTATGGGTAAATGGAACAGTTGACTATGAAAAATCAAAATTTTATTTTCTCACCGTTCAAGCCATTGACGGAGGCAGTCCGCCATTTAGCAACATTGCTTATGTAAATATAACTATAGAGGATGTTAATGACAACACGCCAACATTTACGCAAAATATTTATCGAACCAGTGTGCGGGAAGATATTTCAGTCAATCTTCCAATAATAGATGTGAAAGCCACAGATGAGGACTCTAACCTGAATGGAATTATCAAATATAACATCGTCAAGGGTGATAGCTTGAGTCAATTTCGGATAAATCACAGCAATGGAACAATAAGCTTAGCAAGGCCACTTGATCGCGAAACAATTTCGGACTATGTATTGGAAGTGCAAGCCTGTGATTTTGGGATTCCCGAGCGATGCAATAGTGTACAAGTCAATATTTGTATTCTGGATGCAAATGATAACGCTCCAATATTCTCGCAGACAAATTATAGCATAGTTTTACAAGAGAATCGACCATTGGGCTATGTTTTCATCAAATTTGATGTGTCTGATGCGGATGAAGAGCCGAATTCTACTCCCTATACGTACGATATACGTTCTGGAAATGAGGGTGGGCTTTTTCGGTTGGAGCAAGATGGTTCTCTTAGCACCGCATCCCGATTCAATCACAAATTGCGAGATGAATTTATAATTCAAATACGAGTATTTGATAATGGAACGCCCCCACAATACTCGGATACTTGGGTAACGATAAAAATAATTGAGGAAAGTCAATACCCTCCTATTTTAACACCCTTAGATATTACTGTTAACTCATTTGAAGATGAATTTGCTTCAGCATTCCTGGGAAAAGTTTATGCGTCTGACCAAGATCAATATGATGAACTTACATTTAGTCTGGCTACAACGATTGAAGAAACTTATGAAACTTCAAAATTATTTAGAATCACGAATAAATCAGGGGAAATATATTCAATTTCCAACCTTGATATAGGTTTGTATAAGCTAAATGTGTCCGTGACTGATGGAAAGTTTACCGTCTATACCACTGTTAAAATCAATGTTGAACTTATATCGACGAATATGGTCAGAGAAGCCACAGTAATCAGATTCAGTAAAATAGCAGCATCCGATTTTCTGTTGAGTCACAGGAAGGGATTCATTCGTGCCATACGAAATGTGATGAGATGTCGGCAAAAAGATGTGATTCTTATATCGTTACAAGTGCAAGTTCCAAACTCGCTGGAAAAACGAGTAAAGCGTTCAACGGATTTAAATTTAAATGTTGTTTTTGCCGTGCGCAAACAACAAATAATACCAAGTTCTGATGAATTTTTTAGTAGTGACGAGATTCGTTTATCCGTTATCAGTAAGGAACTTGAAATTGAAAACGATACTAACCTGATCATTGAAGAAATATTTTCAAGTTATTGTCAAAACAAAGTAAACACTTGTGTTCATGGAGTCTGCAAGCAATTTATAAGTCTCGAACAAAACAATATAACGACGATATACACAGATGTGATAAGTTTCGCTGCGCCCTCGTATAGTTTGATTAACAAATGTGTTTGCAAGCCTGGATTTGATGGAAAAGACTGTAATGAAACAGTAAATGCGTGCTCTTCCGAACCGTGTCCACCTCAGAGAAATTGTCTGCCATCAGAATCTGAAACTAGATATCAATGTGTGTGCCCAAAGGGATACTCAGGCTCATTCTGCGAAATAAAATCTTCAAAGTGTGTGAATGGATCATGTGATGCATTTTCATCAACTGCAGTCTCATTTGGCGGCAAAAGTTATGCCCATTACAAAATCAATAAAGCAAAGGCCAAAAATATTTTGGAAAATCAATTTGCCTACTCTCTACAAATAAGGACAGTGCAACAAAGCGGTACCCTCTTATATGCGAGCGGAAAAGTTGACTACAATGTGTTGGAACTTGTCAACGGAGCTGTAAAATACAAATTTGATTTGGGATCAGGAGAAGGTGTTGTAAGCGTATCAAGCATTTATATTTCGGACGGCGCGTGGCATACGATCACCTTGGAACGCACTCTTAACAGTGCCAAATTAACTGTAGATCATAAGCATGTTTCCCAAGGCAGTGCTCCTGGAGTCAATGGCATATTAAATATTCAATCAAATGATATCTTCGTTGGAGCTGAAGTTCGTCCACATCCATCGATTATTGGCTATGAAGATATTCAACGTGGCTTTATTGGGTGCATGGCGAACATTAAAATTGCTCTGGAGCCCTTACCTCTATACATTTCTGGAGGTAGTACAATTGCCGCATTGAAAAGATTTACAAATGTAGAGTTTAAATGTGATCCCGCAAACGTTCTTGTGAATTTGGGAGTTTGCGGTACGCAACCATGCCTAAATAGTGGCATTTGTATGGATATGGGAAATAATATTTTCAAGTGCATTTGCCACGCGCGTTTTTCTGGTGAACTGTGTGAAATTGACTTAGACCCTTGTTCGTCAGCGCCGTGTTTATTTGGAGGCCGCTGTGATAATCATGAACCAAATAATTATACATGCAATTGCCCGATACATTTGTCTGGAAGAAGATGTGAATATGGAAAATTTTGTACCCCAAATCCTTGCAAAAATGGCGGAATATGTGAAGAAGGCGACGGAGTGTCACATTGCATGTGCCGAGGTTTTACCGGAGCAAATTGTGAAATCGACGTGAATGAATGCGAAAATCAACCTTGCGGAAATGGGGCAACTTGTATAAATGAGGCTGGGAGCTTTCGATGCATATGTCCTTCATTTCTTACTGGCGCAAGCTGTGGAGACCCTCTATATTCAAATTCAATTAGTACAAAATTGAAAAACTTTTCAATGGAGCACATTAGTGGCATAATATCGGGAATAGCAATTGTACTCATTATCATCATAATATTACTTTGTTGTTTTGCTTTTAAAAGAAAGTCATCTATAAGCACTAGAAATCGAAATGAAAAATTCAAAAATAAACATTCAGTCAAGCAAGCAAATCTAAACTCCCTGCTTGATAAGGATAATCTTTGCAAATCGAATGCTAAAATAAGCAATTTGGAAATAAGCCAACGACCAATAAGCTATTCGCCGCCAATAAACGATAGCCTATTTATAAGTAACACAACCTTTGTAAATAATCTGGATATTTTACGAAGTTACGGGTCCGCTGGTGATGACCTGGAAAATATACCTTTCGAGTATCAAAAAGTTAATCGAACTAACCAACATGTTAATATAAATGCAAGCAATCTGATCGATGGAGACAATGGAGGACATAAGCAGGAGTGGTGTGAACAGATGCATTTGAAAACCTTCAATGAGAATAAGCTAAATAACGGTTAGTAGAAAGTCAAAATAAAATACAATAACAAATAACAATATCAATTTTCAGAGCGAAGAATAGACTATGGCTTTCCAATTAACCGCCTCTCAAGCGGAAAACTAATTCAGGTTGCAATGCCTAACGTGTGTCATTCTACATCAAATGCAAATTTTGTTGATTCTTCCGTGGGCAACGGTCAATATCACTGGGACTGTTCAGATTGGGTACGCAAGAGCCAGAACCCATTGCCGGATATAACAGAAGTTCCTGGTGCAGAAATCGCTGACTCATCGAGCTTCCATAGTAATGATAGTAACGAGTCTAAATCTAAGCGGAAATATTTAGTTCATGGTAAGTTTAAGTTCATGTAATCAATATATTTATAGTATAAAATATATACTCAATAGTCAATTATTTTATGAATATGTCACAAATCACACTTACAATTTTTGCACCACGTAAATCTATTTTCAATTCTCGTCTTAATTCCTTGGCTTTGAACGATTCTTTTATTTTAATTTGTGTATTTAAGATAGTATTACACCATTAAAAGGTATTGTTCCCAATCATTATGTTCAAAGTTTGCTTGCATTTTCGATTTGGAAGTGTATACGATTTTTCACATCTTTTCTAATCGTTCCTTTAAGTTCAAAGCAAGCGTTAATTAAGCTAATATGGGTGTATTTCAGTCAATTTTTTTATTTTTTTTTAGTCTGTCAGTTTTATGGCCAGATATATGTATATATATATATATATATATATATATATATATATATTTTTTTTTTTTATAAAATAAAATAAAAATAAAATGTGTCGATCACATTATTTTTATTTAATTCTTTAATTGCCAATAATGTTTTTAATAAAGTATACAAGTTATTTTGGTCTTAAGTGTAGGTGAGATCTTATTTAGTACTATGACCCGGGGAAACGGAATGCAGTATATAGCGAATTTGCTGAGGAAAAATAATATTTGATCCTCCATGATAGTCAAATTAAGATCACTGATTCACTCGCTGACAATGATTAGGTACAGGGACATTTTAACTCGTAGACCCAATTAACTCGCTGATGAGGACATAGATAATATTTGGAACGATTGTTTGCTGTAGTCAGTAGCTGCCAGGTTTCGAACTATCGGTCGAAAGATGCAAAATTTATAAAAATCTCGTTCTGCTTTGCACTGATAGACTTCGGTTTGCAAGGGTACGTAATCTTTGGGGAGACTAAGAAAGCCGAATTTTTTCTAGCACATTTTCAAAGGTTTTTGAAGGCTGCTTTCCAAAGTGTGCCAATCGACATAACTTGACTGCCGAGAAGTCTGACTTCTCAAGATCTAAATTATGTTTTCACTCTAAGTACACATATAAATATTTATTTATTTGTATTTGAATTTAAGCAAATTGATTTATTTTGTTTCGTCGTAGTGGAAGATATCGATCCAACTAGAGATATAGTTGCTCTAAATGAAGACATGGTATTTGAATATGTGGATTCTGAGATAGAAAGTTGTATTCAACCATTTATGCCGAATTTAAACAATGAATCCCGTTCAAGACTAAGTTCTTTTAATAAAAGCGAGAATGAAGACTACAAACTAAATACAGGTAATATTATACTTAATTTAGTAAATAAATTGTATTAAAATTAATAAAACGTACTTACTTTCATGCATTCAGTGCCTTTCCAATCAAAATCAAATCGATTACGTAAGTTTGTTTGGGCTGAAGAAATATCGGTTCATTCAATTATTGCATTCTTTTTTTTCGTAAAATATCATGAGACACAACACATTCGGCCAACCCAACCCGAATGCATTAATTTTGTTTTAAATCAGTTTTGTTGACTATTGAGACTTGCCTTTCAATATCGCTTTGACGAATTCGATAGATTCCACTCACACATATTAAAAAAAAAACCGGCATCAAAAGTCTTGTTAATGTTAAAACTTATATTTTTTTACTTAACGAAGATAATAAGTTATTTTAAAAACTATATTGATAATTTTATAATGAAATATGCGTGTCCCTAAATTAAGTTTCACATAATGCAATCAAAAGGTATTTCGTTGTGAACTTAAAAAATCTTTAGTAAAATACCTCATGGTAATAACTTAATTAAATTTAATTTAGGTCCCATTACATTTTACTATGGTTTGGTTTTTAATTTGCAAAATTTCAATTAACAGGCAAAGTATATTTACGACATCCTGATTCATATTTACCGACGATACATACTCCTAGTGACACGGAGGCGGAAAGCTCTAATACCGAAGCCCCAATGCTGAAAAAAGACTTATCAAGTAGAAGAGCAATAAGCGGTAATACTTTATATATTTTTATTTGATCTATTTACAGTTTTTTTTCACACATTTTATTACAGGAAATTCGGAGGAAATATATCTGTTTCCATATGCAGCTGGAAAAACTGGTTCAGACAGCAATATCTCTGTTCGACTTTGTGAAATTGAAGATTCAGAATTAGAAGACTTTCTTCCGCTTCAAGGGAAATATAGTAGTGAATGACATATTAATTGTATAAAATCATAGATCTTAACTTCGGCCATGACTCTGTTTCTTTTTCTACTGATTTTATATAAAATAAAACTAATTAAGTATAATTATATTTTTAATATTAATACGGTATTTTTGTATGATAATATAGCTGAAGGGTTGGTCGACAAGTGTCAGAAATTGCTAAAAGGTGGGTAGCATTACAAGGCCAGTTATAGTCAGGAATAGTTGGATTGCAATCATTGAATATGAGCTTTCAACGAAAAAGTCAGTGGTAAAGAGTTAAGGATCGGTAAATAACGGCATAGGGATCGGTAAATAATGATGTCCAGTCAAACCAAAAGATTGTGCGACTCATCACTCTGAGCGAGGAAAAGATAAATGAGTTTAATCGATAAATACTCCAAGAAAAAGCAATATCACTTCCTCGACTAAAGTGTTCCACACCAAACCATCGAGAAAGAAACTATAACAAATTCTAGCGGTTCTGCCTGGTCAGCGGCCAACCTCCAATGGAAATCGAGGCAAGCTGTAGTTGAACTTACAAAAAAAAAAATTTGAAACTAAAAATGAATAATAACATTTAAGATAAAATAATATTTAAGATATCTTACATATATGCACATATAAAGGCTTGCAAACGTCGACGCATACTTCTGTTTGAGTAATTGGTGTGTTTAGCGGTGAAATTAGCACATTCAAAGCCTTTTTAGCCCTAAGGAGATGAACCAATGGTAGCAGCCACGGCTGCGAGGCTCAATCGCGATCCTAATCAAACTGCAACATTTTTTATATGATATTGAAGTAAATACCGATGCAGTGTGACGCCTTTTGCCTTTTTCATTACAAAAATTATGTTTCTAGAAGCATATGTAAATTGCATTTTGCATAAAATCTCTCGATTCAAAATAAATTATTAATCTGTATGCTTCAAAATATAGTTGAAGGCCTTTTTTTTAATTTAGAGATCACGATTTTTTTTCTTATCGCGAATTTATATATTTTATTGGTTTTCGCTATCAAAATCGTAGTATTAAAACAGATTCTTTTTATACCGGTTTAGTGGCTGTCATTTCCTGGCGCATACTCGTTGCTGTGTGTGGTAGACCAAATGTTACGGGTTCTGGGGCAAGAAAATTGATAACGCACCGAAAAAAATCAATATCGAAATCGGGCAATATTTTGTCCACACCCATAGAGTTACCTGGAATTTGCTTTCTTGATGTCTGATGACTGATTTATATTACTGTTACATAATTTAATAACTCTACATGAAATTATCACAGCGGGTTTAAATTTGATTTTATTTAATAGAATGAAATACAAATTTGCCTTTTACAAATAATAGGAAAACAATGAGAACAGTTAAAGTGAGTGTTATCATAAATAAAACTGATATTTGTATATTAAAGTCAAATTGGTCAGCAATTTGTTTGTCATTATTTAATGTAATTTTTCCAAGCTCAGAATTTATATTAGCAATAACATTATATTGATTCCCTGAAATAAAATAAAGTATTTTTACTAGTTGTTAAAATAATGTGCTTTTAACGTTACCTGCTGTTGAATCAAGTTCAAGTTCTATCTTTTTGGTCATATTATATGTTGTTCCCACCATCCATTCGAGTTCTTCGCAACGTAATATTGGATTCTTAATATATCTGATCACTTTTGAAAATTTTTTTAAGTTACTACTGGATATCCTCATTGGTAACGGCTTTCGGTTAGTTTCTTTAAATTCCGAAATTCCATTCAAATTTTCTAATAACATCGATTTGTGAGAATTCATCGCAAAATCTAAAATAGTTGTTAAAAGCCAGTAGCAAGCTTTATCCATATGGGAAGAGTCTAAGCAGTTCGAGTCTCCATAGACAGCAATGCGACCCTCTGTTAATTTTTCACTTTTATCATTAAGTAATATCCGATTCTTTAAAATTGTATGATCAAACGGCATTTCAAACATTTTGCTGTCATCGTCAGCAACTGGAGTATTCCTTACAAATTTTTCTTTTGTAGACAGTCGAGAACTTAGATCAGTTTGAAATAATCCCATTATTGGTACATGATGCTTCGAATCCGCATTCGTCGATTTTCCATTCGTAATAATCTAAAGTTTGAAAGTTTTAAAAGTACGATCAATTTGATAAAAAGATATAATTATTTACCGATTCTCCTTGATCAAGTAAATTGGTCCCAATCACCACATCATCTTCATTATTTGGAAATGACACGAGCGTTGTACCACTTGCATAATACATTGCATGGTCTCCTAATTTAAAGTGTCCCTCTCCAACAAAATCTCCAAAGGAAATTCTAAATGGTTTCAAAAGATCGTTCAAAGCTGGAATGTTTGCTCCACCAGTATCAGGTATCCACCATTGTCTGCTGTTCTCATCAAAAAATTTAATGTGTCTCATGACTGTTGTGTTATACCAATCAGCAAATACAATTACACTTAAACCCTTTTCATAGACATAATGTTCTAGACTCATAATTTCTTCGTCGAAAAATTCTTCTTCGGGATCAACAATTAATAATACCCCATACTCAAGCGGATTGAAGCAGGTGTACGGTTCTCTTAGAACATCAATATAATATCCAGCGTTTCTTAAATGTACATACGTGTCTCGGAAATTTGTATGAATGTGATCTGCTCTCCAATCGAGAGGATCTGTTTTAATTTTTAAATTGTCACGTGGAATATAGCCAGGTGGATATCTCAAACTATGAAATTGATCCCACAAAATTCTCTTATGTCGGGGAGGCTTTGGCGTAATTTTTATTGTAAGGGGTAAGGCTACTTCACTTTGATGTGATTTGTTAGTACCTAATGGGAGACTTTCTATCACTAATACTAAACGTCCTTTGGATATGCCTTCGTAGTTCTGTCCTTCCCTATTTACAGCTGTGAGTAAAATAAATAACAATTTCCTTTAATTAGACTTTATCAAATATATTATATTTTCTTATTTGTCAAACTTAAAATCTAAATACATACTTAACTAAAAATTTTTGTTTTAATATTTAAACAAGAGAGTAATAAAAGCTGATAACAGGTAACAAAGAACCGGACACACCCACCCATGTCAAGAACTTTGCTTTTCAAATTGAGGTAGATATAAACTAGTAACATTGCTTCGAAGTTTGGTAACTGTTGAATTGGTAGCTCTTGAATTACGAAAGATATGGGATTTTGGAAATTTTTGGTGCAGGAGTTGTCGTGGCTCACAAAATTATTAGAGATGTCTCCTAGATATCTTCCTTCCAAGTTTGGTAACTGTAACTATTAAATAGCGTGAGATATAGGCTTTTATCTTTTGTTTATTTTGTGGGCGGGGGTGGGCATGGTCCAAAATATTTGTTCCTAATGTTTGAAGGGTGTTACTAGCAATATACCTTTTAGATTTAGCGACTCCAGCTTTCAAATTGTGTGAGATATATGAGATATATATCGGCTTAGAAAGGCGGAGTGGGCGTGCCCATCCAATTTTTATCGATCTTTTAAGCAAGTTACAAGTAACATACTTTTAAAATTTGATGACTCTAGCTTACAAATTGTGGGCGATACGAACATTTCAGAATTCTAGGACCGAGGTTCCTTTATATGCCGATCTTCGGAGGAGGTTACCAACAAGTTACCTCCTAAGTTTTGTCACTCTATTTTCAAAATTGTGAGGGATATGCCGGTTTATCGATTTACACTTTCCGAAATATCGGCATTGCCGATTATGGCCGGAGGTGTGGGCGTTGCCATAACACTTTTTATCGGTTCTTAAAGGCATACCTACCTAATTTGACGGCTCTAACTCAAGAACAGCGGAAGATATACCTATTTAAAACGTTTAAGGGCGAGGGCGGAGGTGGGCGTGGCATATGCCGATCTTTGAAGAACATCGCCAACAACCTACCAACCAAATTTTGTGGCTTTAGCCTTAAAATTGTGATATGTGACTATCAATTTGCAAATATAGATTTGTTCGATTTCCTAGCCCCCTGGTGGACGTAGCACTCCAATTTTAACACTTTATCTGACGCGGGCACAGACCAGTATGTGTTCCAAGTACCTTGTTCATACCTGATGCCTTCGATATCAAAGTATAAAAAGAAAGGGCGATTGAGGGCGGCCAAAAGTATGTATATATGTATATACCCAATTTAAGCAGTTAAAGAATCAAAAACAGAACACTTCTCCTAGGACGAAAAAAACATTTTTTGGAACTAATTTTTTTTTTAATCTCACGCGACTGCAGTATTTTTGCTCATTTTCATAGATGTAAATTCAGTGAATATGTATTTTATAATTTTTCGGGGAATTTACTATTGAACTTAAAAATTACATTTTCACCTATCAAATAATTTTAAGAGATACGTGTTTTGCAGTTGATAACATGTGGAAAATAACCTTCTTACGGGAGTGCGTTCAGACCGATCTTCTGAACGACGTCAAAATGGCTTAGCTAATCTTAAGTCACAAGATTCTAGATTCAAGGGTATCATAAGATTGCGTTTTTATTGGCAATCCTACGAACAGCATGTTCAAAAATTATAGAAAAACATGGCAACTCTCTTATTTTGGGTGAGATTAAATCATATTTATATAAGGGCAATAAAAATAGTTATTTTAGGCACGTCGAAGATTACAAACCCCTGTAGATCGGAGCTAATTTTAAATATTATTATATTTTCGTAAATGATATATACATGTTTGTAGTTGTTTTGCAACTGAGAAAATATTTTTGACATACATATTCTTTTTTCCTGTTAATAAGTACAAAAAAATATATAAATAAATTAAAAAAAACAAACATTATAGGAACGATTTAAAATATTTTCAAATTAATGTCGCTTTCCGCTTTATATGAAAATTTAGGTTTTACTATTAAAAGCGGTTGCTCTAAATTGCCTGTTTTAAAAACGGATAAGTTTCAGCGCTTACAGAGCACTAAAACATAGGCTTTTAAAGAGAAAGAAATACGAGCACGGCTAATTAATTTATTTATACGAGTATATAAAAAGTAATAGTAGAAAGCTGTTGTTGTTGCTATCCTTACCAATATAGACTGACATCCAGCCGGTCCATGGCCAAACCAATTCTGAATACGATGTTGAAATTTTGAGGAAATGCCCATAGTTATGTAGATCTGGAATCCATTTTGGTCGACCAATTACTTTTCCGGCTACAGAAATCCCATTGAGAATCGTAACATTCACGATTGCGGACGTGCTTCCGTAGAATAACGGTTGACTGCTGTATGGCCACATGTAATTCGATGTAAAATCAAGTGATGATGGAATAAGACTAATTTTTGGCTTGTATGATAATAACAACTGCATACTTTTCAACAAATTAAGTTTTCCCTGTCCCTGCTCGAATATGTTATAATTTGCTAGCTTTTCCGCCCCTTCAATAAGAACCTGCTTTAAGGATGATGGATTAACTAAATCTATTTTATGCGACGCACCACTTCTCAGTAGAGCTGCCACTCCAGCAACAACTGGTGACGAGACTGATGTTCCTGACAGGCGTCTGCACCCCGTACGTACGTCACTCCCCTCCACCTGACTGCCATAAGTGACAATGTCTAGTCCTGTTCTTCCATAGCCTAATGGGAGTTCCCAGGTCGTCATACCTCTAGAACTGAATCTGGCAATTTTGTCATCAAAGTTAATGCTACCTACACCGATGACATCGCTTTGATCACCAGGATTATTAAGAGTACCATATATGGGGCCATCATTCCCAGCAGACGAAACCATAATAATATTATTAGCCGATAATTCTAGAACCTTATCTACAAACGGTAAATCCATAAAATCTGGGCCACCAATACTTAAATTAATAATGTTCACTTTCTTGTATATAGCATAATTAAAAGCATCTAAAAACCAGGAAGTATAGGAGACCTGTAGTTTAAACGCATTAGATAGTTTTCAGTGGATAAACATAAGAATTCTGAGACCATTACCTGGGAGTTTGTGAAAACTTTATAAATGTGCAATTCGGCGTCAGGTGCCAATCCGAGGCACTCTTTTGAGGAGGCTATAACTCCTGCAACAAAAGTTCCGTGACTAACTCCATCATCCAATGACTTTTCATTGGTCCAATTTGTTCGCTCTTTGACATTGCGAAAGTGTGGGTGATTTTGAGTCAAGCCAGTATCAAAAATGGCAACGTTAACACCTTTCCCAGTAATTCCAAGCTTCCAAAGAACGTCAGCATGCAGAGATGATGAAACATGCTGCGAGTGAACACCCTTTAAGTGATTGTCCCGAGCAACGCCTTGGGGATGCCGAATATTATAAGTGAAACTCTCAGTATCATTATAGTTCCAGGACAAGAATCTCTGTACATAGCGCTGAGGGACAACTGATTTGACAGCAGGATGAGCCTTGACTGTGATTAGAATATGTTCAATTAAAGTGCCGTTTGCCTCTGAAATATGCAAAATGTCGAAATCACTCGGATGAAAACTAGCTAAGTTGTGGCGCGACACAATTGACCAGTTCAATACCTAAAAACAATATATGTATATTAGAAAATAAGAAACTTGAATATACAAACTAATATATATATGCTCACATTTTCTTTTAGCAGCCTTGCTTCAATAAAAGATTTCCTAACATCCGAAAAGTATTTCGAATAAAATTTAACAATGAACTCTTTAGGAACGTTTTTCACCTGATAACTAATTTGTTCGAAAGTCGATGATTTTGCCTGCTCTAAAGTACATTCAGCAACAAGAAAGGCAAATACTGCAGTAATAACCAAAATAAATGTAAATGCACTCATTTATTTGTTAAATATGCCATAAATGAAAGTAAGCAATTTATGTATGTACACAGCAATGTTTGTTGATAACAAACCACACATGTATGTCAAAGAAGCGTATAAAAATACCAAAAAATTGTATGACAATTTTGGGTCAATGGAATGGAACATTTTTTTTTGTCATATGTGTTGAGTTCAGTTAATTCGTATTTCTTAGGAACCACGTTAATGCTTGCTTAATTTGCAAAATCAACTCAAGGACACGACTCAAAGATTAAACATTAAAGCCGGTTATGACAGACTGCGGATTACTATAATATCAATGTAAGATCAGCTCATAACAGGTGGTAAAGAGAGTATTCTTTATCTTCTTCGATCCGTTCTTTAAAGGGGGAAATAATTATAGAGTTTGGCGAACAAAATGTTAACCCATGTCAAAAATGTTCTGTTCAAACGTGTGTTTAGAATGCTTTAGTAAAAGCGTAGTACACTTTTTTCATTAATTAAATATTTGGTCAACCTGCAATGTCACATCAGAAAGCCGGTTGTTAAGATTTTATGAGGCAATCGTCTGTGCGGCTTTTGTTAATGCTGCCTAGAAGAATTTTTACAAGTAAGAAACTTGTCAATAGTCTATTGATGGATTTCTAGTCAAGAACTATCATTGATGCAGTTCGGTCCGAGTGTACAGAAAGATGGGCTAGCTTCCATCTTGGTTACAGCGTCAGCCACTTCACCCAGTAGATATCTACCTGCTTATCTGAAAATATATACATAGCCATCTTCTAATCTGTTCAAGATTGCCCCAGTTCACACAATGGGAAGGTTTGAAAATGGGGAAGTGAGTTTGTACTAAATGTCTCGCCTTCTTTTCATCATTTTCCATAATGGAGTTGTGTGATTTTTTGAGGCAAGTTGTGGTAGTTGATACAGAAATTGAGAAAGTGCGATCATTTACTCTTCTGCAGTCGATCCCACCTACTGCTACTCTATCTGACAGGCGATGGACATTGGGTGAGCCTTGCATGCTGACTTTCCGAGCTTGTCACTGTGATCTTGAAGTCCGGCCAGGACTAAGTCCTTCATCAACTTAAATTGTCGATGTTGACTTCGATCGCCGCCTTTCGCTCTGTCATTCTCTTCATCTACCTTCTTGATTGACCTAAGTAGATGAACAGTTTTCTGATTTACGGCCAGGATCACCAGATTTTTGACCTTTGTCTCATTACACCTTATCACTGTTCATACAATTGGGAGTATGTCCTTATTCTGATCTTGATGTAGACCAATAGGCTCGATATCGTCTTAACAGCTGTGCGAATCTCATTACCTACTTCGCTCGACACTCCACAATGATTAGGGTTGTGTGCTTAAAACTAAAGATGATTTTCTAACCCTCCCGCAATTCTATAATCATCTTGGTCTTCACAGTGCTGAGTCAACCTTTTGACTGAAATCTGCCGCATGATATCTGGATTTTCTATACTTTGAGCCTTCTCGGCTGTGCCTATAATGTAATGTAATGATCTGCGTTCGCTGCTCGACACATCTAGGACTCAGGACCCGAAGACCAGCTGTGCAGCATGGGACCTAAGCTCACAGATTTTTATGTCATAAGTTCCATGTGTTGTCTGCGAGTGCTACTACTATATAGTCTCTGGAGTCTCAAGATTGTCGATTATTTAAGTATTTAGTTATGTTGCTTGTGAGTTTTTGGTGCCCACAATGGTTTTTTTTTTATTTTCTACCAAATTTGCACCATCTAACTCGCCATTGTGATGCATATATGTATTATAACTTGCTGTAGGGTATTTATTAAGTCGAGTACTGTGGAAATGGGCATTTTAAGTTGTTGCAATACCACCGAGTAGTCAAGAACTCAAATCATTCGTGTAAAGCTTTTTCATAGCTTTATAGGTAAAAACGCTTAAAAGCTGGGCCTGCGCATTGGGTCTGAAAATGTTAAGGATAAATACAATTATACTTGTCAGCCAGAAACTTTAGTCTATTTTATAACTGATAAAGATTGTTGTTTACTTTTTATTGAAAATTTAATTAAAATTGTGTGCAAAAGAAAAGCTGAACATTTGTTAATGGGAAAATAGAATTCGGAAGAATTTTAAAATGGTAAGTCTAATTAGTATCCCTCGAATTTGCTTCAAAAAGGTTCAAGCATGTATGTACATATAATAATGTATATATATGCATATACCTACATAACCATTATCCAAAAAACTTTACATTAATACAAATTTAATTTTCGTATGAGTGTATTTATAACTATATTTACGCTATTTCATACTACCCAGATATATATTTCTGAATTTATCTACATATGTATGTACATCTTTTACTCATATACACATATATACAAATGTTCACAGGTAATTTAAATGTGTACATACATAAATATATATGTATAATTTTTTTTTTCTTATGTATGAACGTAGGTAATTTTGTATATTTAAAAGTACATTCATTCGAAAATTGTATATATGTACATGTGTATGTATGTATGTTCGTTTTGGGCAATGTATACATTAAATCATTTTCTAGTATACTGCTACAATAATCCTATTAATTTTTTGTTTTAACTGTCGGTGCATATACGTATTATTTATTTATTGTATGTATTATTGTGAGACGTTAACTGCCAAGTGAACATATGTATTTTTGCATGCATATACAGAAATATTTTGTTGCAAAGGCTCACACATATGTTTCTATATGCATGAAAAAAGACGAGCTGATGCAGTTATGCGAAGTTTGGCTTTATGTAAGCGAATGTGTGTGCAGACACAAATGTATATCCACATTATAGACTTGAGCTCCTTTTGCACATAGCTACAACGTGATTTACAATAGAGATGTGTAAATGTAATGTAATGTGTCTAATAGCATATCACTTCTGTTTACAAACAAATAACAATTTTAAATCATTGCGCTTGAAGTTATGTGTAAAAGAGAATTCGTGCCGCCTGTAAAGCGTGTGTAGCAAATGCGTTAGAATAAAAACATTCAACAATGATAAAAAAAATTATATTTAAAAGCTGTTGTTCACAATACTATACTTCAGACACTAGAGCTTTTTCTGTAAGCCAATATCCTACAGGAACACAAACATAACTGAAAAGCTTTATATACATTAAGGGTATTGCCTTGATTCTTTTTAAAATTTAAGCAATTTTAACATTTATTGTATGGATCTTGTCAACTTTTTAAATCTGCCATCTTGTTTGTGGTATCCTTTCATCGAGCTTGATACTACTAGCATACTCTTTCCACCTAGCTCATCTTTAAATCTTAATATTTTTCACATTTAAAAAAATGTATTTTTTTTTTGTCATATTCAGATAGTTTTTTCAAAAGTAAATAAACAAACTGCTGTGCACGTATGGAAAGTCCACTTGAGATAAAACAAAAATGGGCTTTACAAAACTTGATCTTAAGATATTTTAAACAAAAATAGATGCTAAAGAACGAATTGATATTTTTCTACACTTAATGTGCGCCGTCATACTATTTGCAGTGAGTGCACTCGGACTACTTGTAATATGTGAATAGTTTTTTTAAAGTATAAATTTGTGGCTTTTGTGATTTTCTTCAAATATTGGGGGTTTACTTTAGCTTTGAGTCGGTCCTCGGTACTAGGATCAAAATTCGCATATATTGATACAAAAAGGCTTTGTGTGGAAGCGGGTGATTATTGCGATTGTGACTGCGACCTTTGACGTGAAATGTCTGGATGTCTGGTGTCACTAAAAGGTTAAGGGAGCCCGATTTTCTTCATATAACTACAGTTCTTATAAGAATTCGATCTTAGCAATGCTAGATTTTTTTATGGGACTGCTGAATTCGTTTATATAATGATATCAAGGGAGCCTACGCAATTTTAAAGTGTTTGGATAGGTGCCCCTGCATTTACTAATCAAATATAGTTATATGTAGCAAGGCGTAAAACACGATACATGCAAAACAAATTGTTTAAAACGTATTGATTAGATGCTATGCATACAAATAAGCAGAACTAGATGAGGAATATTAATCAAACAAAATAAAAATGTTGTTCTGTATTAGTAGGTTTGAATGGATTCAACAGTTTCATCTGGTGCCAAAATCATGTGACAAAACGGGTCAATAGGTCTTTCTGAACGCGTAATGTAGACAATAATACTTTCCTAGCGTCAATTCGAAGGCGATGACGCAGTATTCCTGATAGAAGTGCTTTTGGGACTTGACAATTTAAGTTTATGAGTTCTTTCTGTTACCATACTGAGCACAATTATTATTTAAACTAAGCGTTTACTAGGTTTCGTTAATCGTAATAAAACCAAGATCTATTCACCACCCAACATCCAAAGTCCTTACAATTTTTAAGTACTGGTCTTTTCTTCTGTCCCTTCAGTATAAAACCTGCCAAGATTTTATTAGTTCAGTAGCAATTTTTTCTCTTGCCTTTTTTGGCCATAGCTGGGATACCAAGCTATGTTTGCCTTCGTATCACAGTAGGCTTCTCCTATCTCCAGTTTTGTGTTCCTGTATAACCATATATTTTGAAGATTTGTGAACTTTATATAGTTTACATTGAAATAAATTAATAAATCATGTCAATCGAAATCATTGCCATTTGAACTCCATTGAGTCTCTATCATTTTGCTTCGGATTGATATTGAAGACACATAGGAATTTACTAATAAAATTCGTTGTGTTTTTTTTATTGCAGTTAACAAAGTTTTGCCAACAAAGGCCCACGCGGCAATTACCTACTTATATTGTGGTTCTTACTTTATTGTTTAGAGGTGAGTATACAAAACATGTCTCAATATTAAAAACATATGAAAATATAAATTGATAGGTGTAGTATATAACCAATTATGGTTACTGATCTCTGTGTCATAACCGGTGAAAATGGGTAAACCTAACATTCTTGATTTAGACATTATAGATTCTATAGCGGGAATCGGCAGCGCCGGCTGAGAAGCCGGTACATCACCATGGTGTACTTACACAAGGTGGTCTCATCTGTTCTATTTTAGTACCAAACCATGTGAGAGATAAATTATAATTCCGAAAAAGACAAAAAACCGGCTAGCGAAGAAGGTTTTCAATTATGGTTACTTTATTTGCTGTGAGACACAGTCTCCAAAATCGTGATTTTATGCAGAAACTTAAGTTGTTCCTTAGCTCCTGCACAAACTTACCAACAAAACATTGCCAAGCATAAAAAGCAGCAACAACAATATTTATTTTCTCCTAAAAGTCCATATTTAATTTATTTTTTTGTTCAAGAATATCATATTCAACTAGTAGTTTTCAGCTTGAGCTTTATGCTGAGAGCGTTTTTTTAGTTTTTTAGTTTTACTCGACCATTGATGACACACAAGGATGACTCATACTGAAAGAATCTAAAAAATATAAATTTTGATGGGAGCGTTTTTTGAAATGAGTAAATGTTAACAGATGCACAGAACTAATCATTTATTCAGAAATTAAAATAAAAATTACGTGCTCTGCAACATAATAAGCAAATTGAAACAAAATTGCAAGAAAAAAATATATGGCCTCAATTTCGAGTATTTCTTAGTCATTTCTCACCTTTTGGACCAAACTCATCTAGAGAAAAAGCTCCCACGGCAAATACACAATAATACTAAAGCTTGCTTATCGGTGAATTGTCCGAGAAAGCCAACAACAGCGTTTTAGAATCCGAAGAATTCATTGAAGATTCACCAGAACATGGAAAGGTTTAGAATCTAATTTTTGTAGTTCAAATATGTTAAGCCTAAGTTAATGATTAATAAATTAAAATGAGCGGAAATTTAAAAATAAAATTTTAAAAATGTTTGTAAATTTTTAAAATTTTTCTTTTGGCAACTTTGTATTAGCCCCCATTTTTTAATCCAGAAAATGTTCTCTCGCATGTCTAAGCTGACGTTTCCGTTACTTGCTCTATAGCAATGACTTGGAAATTGAACGAAATCTCGCTTTTCCATTTTCCCAATTCGAAAATTAAAAATATATCATGAAAATTAATGATGACCCAGATAATGAAAATAGATGGAATTAAAACTCACTGCCTTAACTTCAAAAAGTTGGAGAGTTTTTATAAAACTTCCTATCTTTGATATTTGAGTTTTCATAAATTGTTTTTAGCACGTCCACGCTTATAGTAAAGAAAGCGTTTTTTAAATTGTCTGGAATTAAATGAAACATTTTTAAATACATTTCTTTACAGTGTCTTTTTCAGGTGGATCGTTTATATTACCGGAGAACGAAGCTCCCACCACTGCACCTAAATTTTTATCAAGGGGTCACCTATACAAAGTTATAGTTGGCGAAACTATTGAATTGCCATGTAAAGTGCAAAATCTTGGATCATTTGTGTTACTATGGAGAAAAGGTTCTTCAGTTCTTACTGCTGGTCATTTAAAAATTTCAAGAGATCAAAGGTTTAAAATTGGTAGCGACTACAATCTACAGATTAACGGCGTTAAGACTCAAGATGCTGGTGATTACATTTGTCAACTTGGGGATCAAGAAAATCGTGATCAAGTCCATACAGTTGAAATATTAGGTATTTTATAATATTATATTTAAGCTCTAGTCAAACCAAAAATAATTCATAAAATAAATAATTATTAATATTTATTCAGTACCACCAACATTGAGGGCCCTTCCTCATAATGGTCAAGTAACGGCACGAAAGGGGAGCACAGTTACATTGGAGTGTAAGGCGTCAGGAAATCCAGTGCCCACAATATACTGGTTTAAAAAGGACGTTTATTCTGGCCCAACGCATTTATCAGATAGTTCAACATTGATATTAGAAAACGTGGACAGACATCATGCTGGTACATATCAGTGTTCAGCTGACAACGGTGTTAAAGAGCGTGTATCAATGGATATACAGCTGACGATTTTGTGTAAGTTTCACATTTTAAAGAACCTCAATCTATATATACCTGTTCAATATTTGATATGCTTGAGTATGTTTGGAAAGTAAATACTAATAACAACTTTCTAATGTATTTGCCTATTACGATGTTTATTTTTTCTTATAAAAACAACTTATCCGCTATATACCTATCAATAAATTTCCTTGCTGAAGCAAAATAATTTGGTTTTCAGTTGTATTCTGAATTTTCATTAGACACAGATTTAATATTGATTGGTTGCACAATTTTCGGATTTTCCAAATGAGAATTTTTACTTACGTAACTTATTTATATTTATACATTTTTTTTACTATATATTCGCTCTAAGGCCTGTATACAAGTATTTTTGCTTTATTCAAACAATGTTATATACATTTTTACTAAAGCCCCACCAGAAATAACGGTTGAAAAAGCTTGGGTGCATGCTGCCGAAGGATATGATATAGAGCTTGTTTGTGTGGTTCATGGCGATGTGAATTCAGAAGTAAGTTTGTCCAAATAGATTGTATTAAGAAAATAATTGTTAATTACATTGTAAATGTCTATTGTTTAGATGTTGTGGTATCAGAACTCTTTCCTTTTGGATCCAACTGATCGGCGCTCAATGTATCCTCATGATGATAGATACAGTCTAATTATTCGAAACTTTCAACAAACCGATTTTGGGAATTATAGTTGTGTCGCCGATAATGCCCTTGGGCGGACAAAGAAATACATTGAAGTCTCTGGACGTCCGGGACCAGCTGATTTTATTTCACCAGCCTTAAGTGGCTTTCTAGATCACTACAACTTAACGTGGACAATAGAGTCTATACCGCCATTAGATGAAATTAAACTTTTGTATCGTAGGCTTTTGGTAATATTTAAAAAATAATTTTCCCATTCGAAATATAACTATTGCATATATAATTTCAGATGAATGAAACATACCAGCATCCTGGTAAATGGCATGAATATCATATTAAGCCAATCCCGATTCGGACTGACGGCACACATTATTTAATGTCCTATGTAGTACGAAATTTAGAGCATAATGCAGTCTACGAAGCAATTGTGCAAGCTAAAAATAAATACGGGTGGAATGAGGTTAGTATACAAGCTGTCTATTTCTGAATTTAACTAATTTATATCTGTAAAACCAATCACTAATAGTAAAAAGTGTGTGTGTATGCGATAGTGTGTAACAGTCTGCAATCATTTTTTGTACGCATTGGTGAATAATTTACAAAACCGAATATTCCTGGAATACCTTTAAAAAGTACCTCTGATCCTTTGTGAGCATTTTTTATTAGGATCAAAAAGAAAAATTCACTGAACTAACTTTCAGATGCATAAAGATATACAGAAGATGTTAATTTGCTATAACTTATGTTCAATATTTCAACAGCATTCGAAAGTTGATATACTATATAGAGAAACAATCCGTAAGTTTTTTTTAAGTATATAGTGAAATTTAGATGTCGGCAGATTGTCTCCGGTCTGCATATTACATTTCGGCATACTTAAGAAAAACGTTGGTTCTTGTTAAATAAATAACCAACTTGTTAAAAATGCATTGCGTAATTGCGAAATACTTTTAATATAAATATATTCTTCTATAGATAAGCGACATTCACCAGTTTTATACTCGAAATCATGATCTTCTGCTCGACATTGATATGGAATACAAAATGGGAATTTCTAGTTGCAATCGGCTATCAATGACAATGGATGCAATTATCTTACCCTATATTATATTGATATTGACGTTCATAATCAGTATTTAAGAAATGTTTAATTATTGGCAAAAATAAGTTCAAAGGTGCCTTACTACGTATTTAGAATATGTACATATTTATAAAATTGAGTAGATATTAAAAATTCTGTTTATACATTGTTAGAGCATAAATGAACCCTAAGTTACTTTATTTTATATAAAGAAGGTCATAAATCACAAAATAGATTTATAAAATTATGTACATATAATCATTACGCCATTTATATTAAATAATTTTGTCCCAACTGAATCATCTTATATTCTTTGATCTAGTAAAGTACTAAAGCATATGATGTTTGTAACTACAAGAGAATAAACCTTCTAATGTTATTAAATGCCCTGAATGTAAATGTATAAAAATAAAAATAAAATAATTTAGTAGTAGATTTGTAGTAGACTTTGCTTGTAATACAAGACAAGATTATAATCATTATCTAATTGTGCCCAGAGGCATTAATTTATGCTAGAAAAAAAGTACACATACACAATAGGCTAGACCTGTTGATCACCACGGGGAGATCGCACCTAGACCAAAATGGTCCTTGGGTCGTGTTGGATTCAAATTAGCACAAAAAAAATAAGAAAAATACTTGAAGACACAAGAAAATCATTTTAATTATAAGAAAAATCTACAAAAATTTAATAGTATTTATCACTACAAAGAATGAGAAAGTGGGTGTCATTATCAACATTATTAATAATATGGAAACAGATTTAATGTAAATTTATTCTACTTATATGGCATACATTACATTTCATCATGTCAAGCAAAACTTTCAGACTTCGGAGCACCCCCAAATGATTAAGCATGATTTTTTTTTAAATCGCAATTAGAAATTGAAAATGAGATCACTCCTTTTTTATTTATTGATTAGAACTTTGTTTTTTTTTTTTGCATTGCTACTAGACATATTTGAAATCATTAATGTTTTATATTATTAAATATGACTTTAACAGCATTGAAAAGTTCAACTTATTGCATTAGGATTCAAGCAATAATTCACTGGGCATTGTATAAAATTTCGATACCAATCTCACGCCTCAAAAATTGATTTTATGTATGCAGTAAAACTTATAACTGTAATCAGATGAATGTCTAATTTTATTTTGATTGTACAAATTTTATTCATACAATTATGTCAAGCAATTATTAACGTTGCTATTACAAATACGAAATAAGGTCTGACATGAAAAATAAAATAATTAAAATATATTTAGATATAAGCATTCAGTGCAGTATACTTGTTAAAGATAAAAATAAATAGGACAAAAACAATATCTAAAATTAAGCCGAAAACCATATGTTTTAGGTCTTTTGTATGGTGTGTATTAAAAAAGTAATGGAAATTGTGTAGCTTAGCGTGTCCCTGAAAAGTGCATTATTAATTCGTATATCTGACGTTGAAATCCCATACACCCGTAAAAACTTAATAGAGTTAACATGGAACTGATTTATTAGTCACAATTGCCAAGCAACGAACAATTGGAATGGCCCTAATACTAAAACTCGCAATAGTACAAAATTCCGATTCATTTCTTAATTTATTCACACATGATACATTAACATATAGCACATTAATAATTAAACAATTGGAATATTTTTAATATTGACGTTGGCTTTGCGCTATGGTTGAAATGTAAATTAGTATTTGTTTATTTATGTATTTAAAACCTTATAAGCGTACAAAATTATCAACACATTTCACTTACCAAAATTCTAATATTTTAACTCAGCTACCACATCATATTAAATTTTGTGCGATTTACGTATAGTATGTCTGTATCCGCCGTGGGAAAGTTAAAATGGCCCTAAAACTATAAAACTGCACATATTAAAGAAAAAAATCATAATGTATTTGTGATGAAATAACAAGCATAACTGAAAAGTGCAAAGCGAACAGGTATCATTTATTTGTTTAAATATTAATTGGCTTGTGCGAATTTAAAATTTTTAAATATCTTGGTTTAACATTCTATTGGTCTGAATCATCTATCTGTTAAACCGAAAGCTCTACTAAACAATTTAAAAAAAATATGTATGTAAAACTTACCTATTAGCGTTAATACACTTGTATTATAACTTTGTCACAACTTCATTTTTGATCAGTGCGGCAAGCTGAGTTGATATAGATATTACCATTTGACCATCTATGCTAATTTATGCCGAAAGTTTTGTTAACATGACCCCAAGTTACGAGGGCTCATTACAATCGGGAAAAAACTATCAACACTACCGAAATCGGCTAAAAATCAAGTTCTTGTTCTTCGAACCTTGTAACATCTTAGGCGAAGTCATAATAAAATGTAAAAAGAGTATAATAAAAAATAAATAGTGAACTAAAGTATGATTCTACTAAATAATATAATAATTCGAATAATGAATATATATGGTAACAATAAAAAACACATTCAGATAAATAAGCTTAATCCAATAAATAAACGCATAAATAGAGTGGAGAGATGCGTCACATTTTTAATTGTCGAAAATCACATGAAAAATGGTTCAACATCAAATTTGTCATGCTATAAGAACCAACCACTTAAGGAATAGTTTTGATAAAATAAATAAAAAATGTCCAATCCCAAATAAACAGAGTGAGGAGAGGAAAATGATTAGGCATAGTAAAAAGAAATGTGCAGATTAAAATAATTATGTACATAACTATAAGCATATTTTATGTCCTGTTTCATTTGGCATTTATTGCATGGCTCAATATTACATACATTTTAATTTAATTTTTTACCTACCAGAGGTAACTGGGTTTGTATGTGTATATATATGAAAATGTATATATTTATTGCATGCAAGTAAACATATATAAGAAGTATATACTAACATCATCTAACAAATGAGAACGGTGTAACCGACTGAAGAAATACTCTGATTCCAATGTAATTCCAGTTGATAACAGGTGGTAAAGAAACTTCTTGACTGGTTGGGGCTGGGCGGCATTATGTTTAATAGCAGAGTTAGATTTTCGTAGCTCATCAAACAAGGTAATTAATATTTTGGGGCCTATAAAATTATGCCGTACAAATTTGTAAATCGAAATTAAAGTTTTTTAGCATGATTATTTTAAAACCGTTGGACATTTCTTATTATGTGACAATTTGATTTGTCAACTATATCTAGCCACCCAACCATAACCCACTTATGTAGATACTTGATTTTATTATCACATCTAAAAAAAAACGAAGTTAAACCGCCGAATCTTTATTACATAAGTTTATGATCAGTAATGAATATGTTCTTGATTCATTTCACAATATCTGTTACTTCAAATCATATGTTAAACCTGGTTTTCTCGAACTTTGCATAAGTGAACATATTTCAAGTACTTTCCATTTATAATAAATAATTTAATGTTCGGAATATACTTACTTACTTAAATGGCCATTACAACCTGTTATTGGTTTTGCATGCATCGAGAATTACTCGTAGGAGCCAGCATAGTCTATCTAACAATCTAACCAAATATCTAAAGCCAAATACATACATGAATGCACTGTTTGATTGCGATGAGAGCAATTATAAGAAGTTTATGTATGACTGCGGCCAGCACTCACATTAAAAAGGTTCTTTGTAGAAACCTTATAATATACAATATTTTAATACAGTTTTATTAGTCTTAAGAAAAATAAATTTAAAAAACAGTTGTGGTTAAATATACTTGGCTTTTATTGAAATGTTATCGACAAGTCCATCAATCTAAATTAGCCCTTTTTACCATATTATAAATATATTTAAGTATCTTTTCTTCACTATAATGTGAACTATTCGTTGAACCATATGCAAAAATTTAATTTCCCTGAATAAAAATATTTTTAAAGTTATTATTGTATTATATAAGTTGCACTTTCTTATAAAAATGACTTTGACTTTATGTTTCCTTTTATTATGTTTAACTATTGTATCGTATTAAAATGAAAACCACAGAATAATCAGAACAGTTATAAGTAAATTTAACACCCGATCGCTATTCAATACGCAAATAAACATTTTAAGCAATGTCTAAATAATTCATCAATTCCTTAGATTTAAGGCACAAAAAATAAATGTACTTACACTAGCAATTAAATAGCCAAAAAACACATTTAATACCATTAAATAAAAAAAGATAGAATAATGTCGATGTAAATGTTTGATAAATAAAAATCATATCATTTTAATAAGTAAAAATCACTTTGTGGTATCTGGTAATACAAACAAATATAAAAAACCAACTTTTTAGAAATTTATGAGGACGTGTCTCACTATGTCAATATTTACCAAATTAGGAATTGGAAACTCAGATCTTGCAGAATGTTCTTAAAATGTTTGAGTTTTTGGGTCTTGTCTCTCAATTTCTTGTTTCCTCTTTTTTTAAGTAGAGCAGAATTTACTCGGGGAAATATTGGTGCCAAAAGTTGCAATTTACTGTTTGCGCTTGCCCAAATACTTGGAATAGATTTTCCATCAACTGACAAACATTGTGCGTTGGAAAATAACTGAAGCGAAGAGTTTATAATATAAAATGTTTCCCTTGCAATCTTGTGACTGCAAAATATTCTGACCTAACTCTTGACAAAACATTAGCTAATTTGTTGAAGCATACAAAAAAGCCTGTGCTCTACAAACAATATTGAAGTATGTCTGGACATACGGCACAGCAACTCAGCTACAAAAGCTTACAAAACTTCTCGGCGTTCAGTGGAATATCCATAACCAGGTCATTCACTGTCTTGGCAGCAGCCGCCACATTTCTTGCGTAGAGTTTTATGACAAAAGTATGTCAAACAGTCTTCTGGATAACAGACTCCTCAACAGAAGAAATAAAAATCTTCAACACCTGAATGTTACCTTTAGGATAATAGATACAATCTAAAATTTTGAGAGCACAGTTTTCTTCGAATACCCAATTATTTCTTATCCATATATACACACGTTAAATTTTATTTTGTGTACTTAAATATTCGCTTATTGTTCTCTTTGGACACATAGGCTGCCATGGGTACCAATACATTCTCACGATTTCTTTTACTAAATGTGAGATGGTTGCCTTATTTAATTTTATTTATTTATTCAATAAAATAAAATTAGTTTAAAATATTATAATTGTTTAAATTGTATGGTTTCATATATTAATTGCGAAAATTCTATAAGTTTTATTTATTTTTTTTTAGCTGCCTTCAAGGCCATACTGTTTCTTATTTTCTGGAATTTATCTGATCTTCCAAACCATTTATTCATTTTCTCCACAATCTAGAAAATTTAAAGACATACATGCAATTAAAAGGTAGAATTTAGAAATTCATTGAAGCAAATTAAAGCAAGTTACAATTATTTTCCGAAAGTTCTCGTCAAGGAGATACTGGAAGCTAATGCTTATTGATTTTGGGTAATAGGAATGGGCAATAAGAATGGTAAGTATGACTGTCTGTTAGAGCCAAAGTTCAAATAGGGTATGAAGCTCGACCAATATATATTTACCTTTTGTTCGAGTGGGAACTTTGGCGGATCTCTTACAGTCAAAAAATATTCCAAAAACTCCCTTGGGTCTAAGGCCTCAGATCTAAGCCGCATTTTTCTTTCCACATTTAATGTGTCGGCTATATTGTTAGCTATGTCACCAGAGTTATACGCTTGTAAAGTTTTCGCAAGTGCTGAGTATGTATAGCTTTCTAAATCATCAGGCGCATTTTCTGTCATCAGTTCTAACCAAAGCAGCAGGCTAGTACCATAATCGCATTTCGAAATAAGCATAATTTTTTGAAAAGCTTTTTTGAGAGGGGGTTTGGCAGCCCACGGCATGTTACTTGTGCCGAGAAGCACAATTTTGTCAGTCTTCTTGATTGGCCTTAAGATTTTCTTAAGAATATGCGGACCGAGGAGTGTTGGCTTGATAGGCTTTTGATCAGGCGGAACTTTTTTAAAAAAGACGCGGTGAGCTTCTTCAATGAACAATATAGTTGGTTGAAATGCCTTTGCTACTTTCATAACGATGTGTAAAAACATATTTAGGTCGTCAGCGTACTTATAAACTTTTTCTGGACTAATATTTATAAAAATAGCATCTGTAATCACATAAATGTAAAAGAGTACAATTTGCATCAATAAGGTTATATATACATGCCCAATTCAGATGCAATTATATTGCACAGCAATTTTTTTCCACTGTTTAGTGGTCCAACAAGCAAAATTGACTTTGGCTTCGGTATATCGAACTCACTCATTCCCAACATACTCTCCTGTATAACCATTTTGATATCTCCCTTTGCAGGGCCAACAGTGCTGAAATAAAAATTAATTTATATATAATTGAAATTAGAGATTGCATAAATCAATACCTCTAAGTTTGAAATGGGTTGGATGAGAAATAACAATAACAACAATAAATCTCTTCTCGAGGTAACAATCTCTATTGATTTTACTTGGTTTCTTTCTCAAATTGTCTGTATGTGCTTAAGAAAGTAATACTTACGTTAAGTTGTTGTCATCTCTAGTGTCATCTGCCAAAAAATTAAAGTCAGCTATGAATTCATCAAAGTTTTTATGAGAAACTTCTTCAATAACGGTCGCATCTTTAAGTTCATGATATAATGAACTGAGAGTTCTGTCTTCTGTGGGGTCAACCGGTTTTTTCTTCTTCTTCGTTTTCTTCGGCTTAGCCCTTTTTACGTTTTTGGGCTTATAAGGGACCTTCTGATCTATAGCCAAAGCATTTCTCAGTAATTCATATTCAACCCTACCAATCAAAAAAAAAAAATAAATAAATAAATAATAATATAATATATATAAAATAATATTTTTATCCGCCGTTAGTGAAACTATAAATACTACTGTCTTACTTAGTAATGTTCGTTTTAATTAAACAAAAAAAGAGAAAAGTTTCACTGTTTTTCTTAAAGATTCCCGAATGGGAACTCGCACATAACCATACATATGCGGTTTGACAAAATGGTGGCGTGTATACAAAATCTGAAATATTTTTCACCGTATGTTAAAAGACTGGATGCCATTTTGGGTTGTCGAGGAATTCTGCGTTCTGTAGGCAGAAAACTGGACAAATATATGAAATATATAAATATGAATATACCCCAGTTTGTAAAATGGAGCAGAAACTTAAAATTACGAATAATGACTGACAGCGTAAATCGTTCGATTTGCTGGTCATTGCATAAAATGTGAGTATGTATATGAAGGAAATTAATTTACATACTTATCTGAGATGCCTTATCTTTTATAATCAAATAAATTGACAAATTAATTAATTTAATTATATTAGTTTTTCCATTTTATGCTACTCAGCGCTTGCATACAAAATAGCTTAATTTTAAAGGATAACAATTATTTTGTATAACTTTTATTTGAATGAATGAGCAAAAATACCGACTGAGCTATAATATATATTTGTCCGATGCTCATACATTTTTTTAGTTATAAGCAAGAAGTCTGCTTACCATTCGTTATTGCCTGTTATTACTCGACTGGAAAGCTCTGAGTTATCTTTTAAATTTTATTTGTTGCACCATTAGATTAGGTTAGGTTAAGCGGTTGTCTGGTTGACACACACAGGCCATACTTGACCCGTTGTGATACCGTATTCGGATCTGATCTGCTTATATTCTCTTCCTTGATTTTGAGCTTAGAGGTAGCCATAGGCATATATATACTTTCCTTATCTGTAAGGAGTGGTAATAGTGTGCCTTTCCACTTGCCTTCGATGTGTTGGTGTTTCCTGGCCAGGCACCCATATTATGCTGACAACATGCTGCTTGGGCATGCGATGTCAAGGATGGAATGGTGACCCTAAGATGCAGAGTTCAGCCATGCGCTAAACTTTGTTAAGTTGCTTTTGAGTGGTTTGCTTTTTTGAGCAAGACCACCATACAATATCCCCATATAAAAGGATTGGTCTAATAATGGATGTATGTAGCCATCGGACAATTTTTGGAGACATACCCCATTTGAGTCCAACAGCTTTCCTGCACGTGTATAGAGAGGCCGTTGCCTTCTTTACTCTTGCCTGGGTATTAAGTTTCCAGTCTAATTTCCTGTCCACTGTCAGCCCCATGAAGTTGGCGCTGTTACTGAATGTGAGAGTTATGGTTTTTAGTCTGAAGGGACAAGAGGAGGAACTTTATAGTTTCTTGTGAAAATAATAAGTTCCATTTCTTGGGATTTACGCCTAGCATGGTGATACTTTTCTGTGAAAATAATCGCAAAATCATTCGCATACGCGACATTGTGACAGCCGCCTCCCTCCATGTCCCGTCGCAGTCTATTTACTGCAATGTTCCATAAGAGGGGAGACAGGCCGCCCCTCTTCAAAGGTAGCTCAGAGCAAGCTGATAAGTGTATTTTAAGGAGGATATCCAGAGATACTGCTGTATCATCGCCGTTGCTAACATTATAGAGCAGAAATGCGGGTTCTTATTTTACCTTCGGTTTACTATGAGCTTCTGTTTGTCGGTACCTTGCCCGCAAACATTGCCTCCAAATACCCAAGGTTCTTGGATTATTGCTACTCCGCTACTAGACAGGTGAAGCATTAGAGTAACGGATGCTGCTTGACAGTGGTGGAAGTTTATTTGCAGACATCTCTAGATTCTACCCACAATTCCGTCTTCTTGCTATGTGTATAACCTGGCTCCACGTCGTCGTCGGGTGCTTCGATCTCCGGAGAGGGATCCTGTAGAATCTTCATAGGCCGTTGCATCCGTCTTGGGTTGCATCTTTGCAACATGGACCGGCTTAACACAGCCAGAATACAGATGCGTGTCCGAGGCCTGCTCGGAACATCTCTCCAGTCGACAGTGATTGCTTGGCTACAGGGCAGACCTCGCCAACCCCCGCAAAGGCTGCTTTGTAAAGACGCACAGAGCGGGCGTCTACACGTACAATAACTTTCCTGGTATCTTGGCACCAGCCAACATCTTCACATGTCCAGGTTCCTTGGTGAGCCTCTCGAAGCAGCGCACAGCTAGCGCTTCTTCCACGCAGTGTACCATTACGTATCAATAAGTTACCGTCCACCTACTCAACCGTAATTTTTGTACTTTACGTACCAGAAGCGGAATCTAAATTCGTTTCAAAAATTGGCACACTGATCTAATTATTTCAATCTTACCAACGTTTATCACTTAGAAACTGTTACAAACATTATAAAACTTTACATTAGTCATAAATATGCCTACAAGGTATAAAAAATAAGTGTGGTAGTTTTTATTTAAGCATTAATACCTACCGCATATATTCATCAACCAACTGCCGCAATTCTTGATGTATTGTAACTAACTGTTCTTCGGTAACCCAACTTTTAATCGGGTCGTGATTCTTGTTTAGATATTCATCAATATTTCTCCAATCAATAGAAAATTTCTTAACCGTAGCTTCTATTTGTGCTGTCAACAATTTAAATAAGGTACAGTTAGGATATCAAGCAGTAGAAAGAAAGACTATGGAATATGTTGTACCCAACCCTAACATACATTCGCAAACATACTTATGTATACATAAATGTTATATATTACTTATGCTTGGCATACCAATTGGTTTGCTGGATTCGAGTACATAGCCAACATCAATTATTCCGGCGTCTTTTAATTTTTTTCTTCGTTTAGCGTCCGCTATTTTCTTTTTTTTTATTTTCTCCCTTATTTTCCTTTTTTCCGCTCTCTTCTTATCAAGTAATTTTTTCTTTTCCTCTTTTGTCATTGGTTTCTTATTAATTGTTTCTTGAAATTCCAATGGTGTCATTGTTTCATCAAGGACAACTAAAACTGTACCCTTTTTAATAGGATCCGGATAGGGGTGGAAATTCAGCGTTTTAGTGTAACTGTTAATTAGAGAACAACATGTACAACATGTATTAAGCCATAATTTTACTTATATTATGCATATCTAAAGTATTATATTTGTATGCACTTACAATTCTTCAAACCAACCTCGAATATGATCGGAAATATCTTCCATCATCCATGGAGTTCGCATTTGAAGCAAACGTGTTCGCTCATCCATAATAAGTTTTGCAAATTCTTCGTCAAGCTGCTCTTTCTTTTTCTCATTCTTATACATCTCGAGAACCGAGTTTTCAAACTGATTTGGCCTTTTTAATTTCCGTAGCTTTTTAGTGCCTAACATTTCTTTTTTAAATTGTTGCTTTATTCTATTAATCTTTTTTGCTTTGTAGTCTCTCCAACATGATTGAATTATACTCGCCGCTTCGTTTCGTAATTCGTAAACTCTCCGCATTTCATATTCTGAAATATAAATGATACAATTTTTTAACTTGCAAAGATTCCTTTACAATTCTAAAAAATAATGAAAAATGAGTTTCACAAAAGAGCGTTAATTCAAAAACTGTTTAAAATCAATATACGATTGTAAAAACAAAACAACAACTATATTCACCGTTTGGGAAAAACTGTATTATGTATCTCCAACAGCGAACATGAAAAGCCGGGAAGACCGACTGCAGTGAAGTTTCTAAGCGCAAATGCCTAATCGGCAACTTGACAAACATCCTTCTTGTTTCCTTGACGTTAGTCTTTACCTACTTACTATTGGCAACATTTTAGCTTTCGTGCGAATTAATTTTCAAAGTTTTTTTTTTTTTTTTTGAATGAACAACATAAAAATAAATATAATAAACATTATATATACACAAAAAAAACGTTTGGATACAACTTGTTATTTCGAAACTGATCAGTTACAAACAAAATTTCCAAGCTCTACATAATACTTCATTAAATGCATCAATTTTTTGAAACATTCACTCCTCTTTGGATGTTAAAATGTATCGGCAAAATCTAAATTTTCGGCACATGTTTACTAATTATAGAAAACTTAACAGACAGGTGGAAAATCACTTGCCAGAGCGAAGCCGTGAAATAGTAATAATGATAGCCAAAATAGAGTAGAGAAGCTCAACAATATTTACCGTCATGAGCGTCTTCTATATTTTCATCCCGTCTTCTTAAATCATTACAAGACACGTCGGATTTTATAAAGTCTGCGGTAAATATAGTCCTTTTAACGGGAATGCTCATAGCTTGATTTGGCTTAAAAGTAAATCTATAGTGTATTTTTTTCCTCTGATGGACTTCCAGGAACTTCTTCTTATCGTATTTTAGGTTTGACTTATATACACGAGCTCGTCGAGCTCTCTCATGTGCCTGAATAAGTTCTATTGCTTCGGTAACTTTACTCCAGCTTTTTGCATCCATTTCTTCCTTTTCTTCATTATTCATATACAACTTGTTTTCCGTTAATATGTTCTGAATGTCTAACGGACGACGGTATAGAAATTGCGGCGACCTCCATATCATTAGATCACGAGGTGTCAGTTTTCTGGAAATTAATACTTTGTCAATGTAAATATATTCGCTCAACTCAATTTCTTTTAATTCATCTTTGAGTAGCACCAACTGTTGTGTGGCATTGTCAATGAGAGTTTTAACCACTTGTCGCTTCTGCACTTGAAATGTGTTGAAGTAAATGAAACTTAATTTATTGACAAGTTCCACATATAACACATAGAGCTCGGAAAATATTTTAAATGATATTGCTTTTTCTTCAGGTGGATTAATTAACTTTAAACGATTTTGTTTTTTTATCAGTTGACCGATATCTTTTGTGGCAGCTATCCAGCACTTATAATTTAAATCAAAAGACATTCTAAAGCCGTTTTCTTTTCACTAACATATACCAAAATATATATTGTGTTATTTGAATTTTAAATACTTAACTTTTAGATAGTCTAAGCACGGCACAATTGATCTGATACTTATGAACAGCAATTTTAACTTATGCTAAGAATCAAAATAAGTAATTGGGTATGAAGCCGGCACATTTTATGAAGAGATTGCGATTAATCAACTATATAAATGTATGATTCTTGATTTTAAATAGCAGGTTATTTCACGTATTGTATTATATTGTATGCTAAGTAGAGTTAGCCAAGGTCGCTGACAGTTGAGAACGATTGTAGCAGCGATGGTACTGAAAGGCATCCTTGGCAACCAAACTGATCTCCTTCTCCAAACATGGCCGGAAGGCACCGCATACTTAGTAGTGGTAATGATGGGTCGAGGGAGCTTTTAGACGAACGCCTCGGTAACATTAACCGACTTTAAAATAATGTGTGACGTGATTAAGCTCAAAGTCAAGGTGCTCAGCTCTTCAGAGTCTGGTTAAGATCATGTTAGAAGGGACGCCGGCATGGTACAGGAAATAGTCGATGAGCTTAAGCACGGCCAGAAATTTCTACATGAACGATTTTGGTATGTTCACTGTACGTATTCTTGATAAGTGATTAGGCAAACGGATCTGCCAGCAGTCAGACTGAAAACCAAAATATTTTTAAATTTGACGCTGGCCTCAGCGTCTTTACATAATCAGAAGCATAACAATAATAATTGAAATATAATACTTATTATTGTTAACGAGAAGTGAAATATTAATATCAATGTTACCTTCATGCGGTCATAATATCACTCTTCATTGAGTAGATACGAGTCCTTTCGCTCAATCCATTCATATTCTCCGCAGATCGTAGATTATTTCGTTTCTGCGCGAAATATTTATATATGATCTCTGAGTTGACTAAATTAATGAAATAAACACATTATAGTATGTATGATTTATACTTACAGTGTAGTAGGGACCGCTAAAAACGGAGTTTGTTAATCAAAACCAATTTCTATTCTTTTTATTGCGAATACATTTTGTGGTGGTTTATGAAAATATCAGTTTATATTTGTGTGTAAATAATCGAACTACGCCAGTATCAAATGATGGTTCTTAATAATTATATTTATGTATATGGGATGGGATATGAAAGGGAACAACAACAGCGTCTCTGTGATCAATTTGTATTCCTAATACTGCAGATTGAGATTTATGAATAAACATTTTCATCTGAAAGGTAAGAAATAAGTAATTAGTGTTCAGTACTGAAACAAACAAAACAAGAGTGAACGTTGCAGTCGGGCGTAACCGACTGCGAAATTCTTTGATACCATAAGTTATTCCATCGGATAACAAGTAACAAGGAACAGGGTGGGTGTAGCCAAGAAGTACTGTCCAAGTTTGCCTTTCAAATCGCGGTAAATATAATCTGGTAACGGTCCTTCGAAGTTTGGTAACTGTAGCTCTTAAATTATGGGAGAAATGGGATTCTGGACATTTTGGGGGCCACTCCCGCCCCTGTACTCAGTGTTACTGATAAAATTACTAGAGAAGTCTTCCTTCCAAGTTTGGTAAATTTAGCTATTGAATTGCTGGAGATATAGGTTTCTGGGAATTTTTTAAGAGTGGGCGCGGCAAAAAAAAATTTTGAGTACGATCTTAGAAATCTAGCTTCCAAGTTTGGTAGATTTCTAAGATTCTGTAGCTCTTAAATTAGATATAGGCTTTTATCTTTTGTATATTTTGTGGGCGGGGGTGGGCATGGTCCAAAAGTTTTTACCGAATTTTTGAAGGGTGTCATTAGCAATATACCTTTCAGATTTGGTGACTGCAGCTTTAAAATTGCTTGAGATATATGGTCTTATCGATTTACCCTAACAGGTGTATCGGTTTAGGGAGGCATAGTGGGCGTGGCCATCCAATTTTGTATCGATCTCGTAGAGATCGTAGGGAGTTACCAGTAACATACTTTAAAAATTTTGGTGAATCTAGCTTACAAATTGTGGAAGATATGAGCATTTCAGATTTCTAGGGCCGAATTTCCTGGGGCGGCGTTTGTTGGCGTGGTCTGAAAATTGGAAGAGGTTACCAGCAAGTTACCTTCCAAGTTTGATTAATCTATCTTACAAATGTTCGGAGATATGCGAATTTTTCGATTTACACTTTGCGAAATATCGGCATTGATGATTATGGGAGCAGGTGTGGGCATGGCCATAAAAATTTGTTATCGGTAGTAACATACCTACCTAATTTGAAAAATGGAAGTTATAGCCATTTACAATTTTTATTGGCGAGGGGACGGCGGAGGTGTGCGTGTTCCTTGAAGGACATAGCTAACAACTTACCAAACAAATTTAGTGGAATTAGCCTTAAAGTTGTAGGAGTTATGTGCCTTTACTGGTTTCGTAGCCCCCTGGTGGACGTAGCACTCCAATTTTTACACTTTGTCTAACGCGGGCACAGACCAGTATGTGCTTCAAGTTTCAAGTCTCTATCTCTAAGGGTGTCGAAAAAAGTGGCATTCATACAGACGGACAGATGGACAGACAGCATGGCGGACATTGCACAAAATCAATATACTATAATACCCTCTTTTTCAAAGTATTAAAATGTAGTGAATGCGACAATATTGCAAATAATCATTTTCAAAGAGTAATATTATAAACATACTCATTTAAATCACATAAAATAATTAGTACATTACATATTAATTTGATTATACATTTATAGTCATATTAATAATAAGTTAATTTCCTCACATTCATATCATTTCAATTTTATTGAACATTACGCTAATTTAAAGTCTCTAGCGTCTTAAAAACAATGAACAACACATAAATTATTTTTTTTTAAAGGAATGTAAAAAGTAATAATAAAGAAATGTACTGACCTGAGCTGTATCATCCGGATTAATACATTTCGATAGGTAAGACTGGTTCGGAACATCTTTTAATAGACCTAAAATACAAATATTCATGAAAACTATTATACAAAACTTATTTTTTCACAATGAAATGTTTTAAATTGTATTATATGACGTTCAGACTTGTCACAAAATAAATAAAAATAATAAACATTAGTAAAACCAATTGCAGATGCGGAATTAATTATTTGTGTTCTATAATTTTCAGATGATCGATAGGAAAACATATTATTACACGCAAGTATTGGAATGCTCCATAGCTGCGCGGAATCCTTCACTAAGCTCAAAATAACTCGACTATGGTATAAGTAATAAAATGATATTGCTGTGACCGCTTGTATTTTTGCTGTGCTGTGTCCAGTTTGTGATTTTAATTGATTTTATTTAGTGTATTTTAATTGATTAAAATAATTTAATAACTTTATTATTTGCCTGTGCTAGTGTTTTGATAATTTTTCTGCAAATGTTTTTTTTATTGGGGATTTTTCAGTAATTTTTCCGATTAACAACTCATAAAAATCTTTATACGTAGAAAAAAAGCTATTTCCATTTATACATCGCACGCTCGATAGCGGTGTATTGTTGTTGTTATAGAGGTTTTTGTGTGCGCTACTTTACTCTCGCGCTCTCGATTTTCGAGTGCTCTTTCAACTGTGCTTGAACGTGTTGTTGTTTTGGCTGTTAAAATTTGTTGTCTATCTTCGTATAGACTAAGCTTGGTGTTGTTGTTTCTTGTTTCAGCTTGCTGTGCGTTATTAGTTTTTGTTATTTTCTCTGTGCAGTGCCGAGTCTTTGTGTAGTTATCTACTTTTCGTGCATATTAGTTTTTTCATTTAAGATGTCTTCGTGTTATTTAAAAGCTGCAAAGTGCCAGGGTGACCCAAAAGCCGATTTCATCTGTTGTTGTTTGTGTGTCAATTTAGTTCACGTAAAGTGTGCTGATTTCACGTAACTCGTAAAGGATGTAATCGGCTATCTGTTGGGGTTAAAGTGGTGTTACGAACGATGCCGCGAAGCGAAGTCGGATTTTATGAGGCAAAGTAGACGGGGCTTTCACGATCTTCGTAAATCTTTCAGTAGAATCAGTGATGATTATAATCCAGACAGACTCAATTGCAGACTCAATTTAATAGTGTAAAACTATTGAATAAGACTTTACTTTGCCTGTTGATAAATATTCTCTCCCAGCTATTTGCAAGGAGTTCTCTATTATTCCATAAAAAGGGCTTAGTCTGATGTAAAAAACTATAGGGGTATTTTCTAATTTTTCGCAATACCATAAAGCATTTGAGAAAATAGTAACAACTCAGCTGCAACACGTATGTAGGTCTATTATTTCAACTTTCCAGAATAGTTTTTGTAGGTCTACTACCACTAAGATTCATGAATTTACTTCCCTTCTGATCAAAGGATTTCAGAATGAAATGCAAATTGATGTCGTTTATACAGGACTTTGATTCTGTTAATCATTGTCTCCTGCTTCCTAAACTAAATGTTTTCTTCTTACTTTCGTACCTGGATTTCTGATTATCTGAGTAACAGATCTCAAAAAGTAGCATTCAAAACATTACATGCTAAGCAGCCACCAGTACCAGTGCTTTTTAAATTCTCCCTTTTATTATATTGTTTTCTAACGTACTGTTTGCTGATGATGTCAAGTTGTACCTGACATACATATAACGATATGTCCTCTCAATGCTTACAGCGGGCGGACTCTCCTTTCTGTCATGGTGCAAATTGAATTTGCTCCATTTGAAATGCTCTAACTGTAAGGTCATGTCAAAGGAAGCTATAGACTGCCTAGAAAGGCTCAAAGTTAGCCCTAGCAATATAAACATATATATTGACAGTCAAGCAGCAATTAAATCCATTAGCTCGATATCTTCCAATTCGATATCAGTAACAAGCTGTCGCAAACCTCTACACGAGATGGCTAAACAGCATGTTATTAGCCTGATATGGGTTCCTGGTCACCAGGACATTGAAGGCAACTGTCAAGCCGATGAGCTAGCTAGGAAAGGTACTATACTACCACTCCTCGCGGAAAAGGAAGGTATAAGTATGCATCTAGCTACCTGTAAGCTCAACATCAAGAAGGAGTACAGGCGCAGGCGCATCAACTCCAAGCGCAGCCAAGAGCTGTGCAGTCTAAGTCGGACCAACTGTTCTGCAGTGATCCGGGCTCTAACTGGGCACTGGCTGGTCGGCATTCATGCCAACAGACTCCAGGTGCCATACAATGACTTTTGCAGAAGCTGCAAAGACGAGGAAGAAGTGGAATCTCCGGAATATTTTTTCTGCCTCTGCCCAGACCGGCCAAGATAACGAAGTTCATCAACGCATCTGGCTGGTCAAATGTTTGGCTGTTAGAATGCTTTGGAGGCACGACTGCAGGAGGAAACCCCCCTGGATCCCATTCGGTACCACAACGGGCCAAATATGGCCTAAGTGTGTCAGCCCATTGGGCCGATATAACCTCATGTGGTCAGGTCATGTCATTTTACCGTATCATAGGTTTACTTCTTGATCATAAGTTAAAATTCGAAGATCATATTAAATTCACTGTTAACAAAGCCTTTCAAGTTCTTTGTTTTATTAAGCGTTGGTCAAAGGAATATGGAATATGGATCTTGTGTGAGGTCTCCGCAATATTGGATTCTGTGTAGAAGAGTTTCTTACATTTCGCTATGACTCCATACACCGATATACTGTTCCTTATTAGCCTCCCCTCCTTAACTAATCATCGTGATATGCTATGAGTTATATTTGTAGTTAAGTTAGTGAAATGTGAAATTGATTTAGTTGCGTTGATGAGCCAAATTAATTTTTCTGTCCTCTCTCGACGGTCTCATTACTTATTCCCCTTTTCTCTTAATCATTGTACTAATAATTATTCCTTGGATGAACTGTTTCGAGCACTCCAGAGTACAGAGAACTTCATTTCTATAATTAAGAAATTCATTTTAAGCGTCCTATCCCATGATAAATAAATATTGATTGATAAATATTGGTGTGATTGGGTTTTCCTCAATTCATGTAGCAAAAGTTAACCATTTTGCATTTTATTAACCCAAGAAATCTTATAATTTTCATTTTTTTTAAATTTAAATTTAATTTTATATCTATTTTAATTCAATGTATATTTTGTGTGTCGATTGACTTAAGTTGACATTAAATAAATAAATAAATAGGCAGTAGCATGATATCACTAATCAGACAATACAACTTTAACCTTTTTCATATTTGCATTATACAATGTGATTAGGCACTGATTTGAAAAAAAATGCCAATTTGAAATTAGATTGCTTCCCACGAATTCATAAAATATGTTTTATTAAGAATTTAATTAGTCTGCGCTCACGCCACTGATCAAAAGCTGAACTACTGTGCTCTGCAAAATGATATATCGCAGGCCCAAAAAATATATAAAATCGACAGGCATCCTGCGCACGAAAAGACAAGGCACTCTGTCCTTGCTGATCCATTAGGAGCTAGTTGATATACATACATAATGCGAAGAAATCTTTAATATACTAGAGATGTCGCAGTCACACACACTAAGCCTGTAAAATTTTCGACGCGTCGCCCTCGAGAATTGAACCCACGGTCACAGATATTTATGCAGCAGGCTTTTAGTCGATTTGATGCTTCCTGGCAAGATACAACTTAGCATAGAACTCAAATGAATAGAAATTCATTTCATTCAACCAAGTGATTCTGCTAAATCTGACACAAATCTATTAGCAGCTGCTTGAGAGGTCTCCAATAAATTATCAGTATACTTGCAAAATATATATGATATACGTGTACACATACATTTATATATATAAGTATTTCAGTTACCAACCTTTAAGAACAACGCCAGGATGTTGAATGTTGTTCCACTGCTGTTGCAAACGCTGTGAGTACAATTTAATTCGATCTGTGTACTCCTGATGCTCCAAGGTGTGCGACTCCAATGCACCAACATTGATCATGTTGCTAAATTTTAAATGCAAAGGAGATATAGAAATATGTGTCCAAACTTTTTCGGCTTACATACATTGCAGTGTTCTGGACTAATCTGGAGAGCGCATTTTGGTCGTCTTTCTTTGGCAGCGACTGTGAATAATCATTGCTCAAATCAGCCGAATTACTTCGTCTCAATGCTGGACTTTGATTAACTGAATCAGCAAGCAGATGAGTCCTTTCGCTTGGTTCAATGCCCTAAAGCAGACACAAGTGTGTAAATATTGATGTAGATGGATATATGTGTACATGCTCACTTGACTGCTGAGGTCGTCCGTGCAATTCCAGCAACTGCAGATTGACGCTAAGCACTCAAAAATTGAACGAACGTAATCCATATTTACTTTGTTAATATTACATTTATATATTCCAGTGTTGGACAAAATATCAAATTATCAGTAGGGACATTCCCAACAATCGGTTAAAATATTCAATGTGTTTACTGCCATGTAAAAGATAATTTTGCTAATAGCAAATCGGATTGTTGTAATAACATTTTAATTAAAGCACAATGTGAAGTTGAACGAAGACATGCGATGAATATATATTCCCAACTATCGCATGAAAATATCGATAGTTGTTCAGGTCAAATACAAATTCACAAATATCTCTTATACAAAAATATTTATCGATATATCATATGTGTATTTTGCGCAGCCCTATGTAAAGAACATATCTTCAAATATAGCGAGAGATTATCAACAAACAACAAGATGATTGCTCTCATGTAAGAATTGTAAAATGAAACCTAAACTGTTAATTTAAGAAGCTCACTTTGCATTAGGTTTTGGCTTCTAATTTGGCTGCTTATCATAACCGCAACTATTTTCATTTGCCTTCGCCAATGGATCCAACACAACAAGAAGATAATACAAGGCACCCAATCGAAAAAAGACCGATTGTATGTTGGCATTTTCCATCCATATTGCAATGCGGGTGGCGGAGGGGAGCGTGTCTTATGGTGTGCGGTGAGAGCGTTGCAGGCACGGACATACAAACAGGAACACTCATTCAATTTCAATAACAAAGTTTATTGTTTCGTTTCAGAATAAGTATGATAACATTAAGATTGTTATTTACACGGGAGACATTGATTCGACGCCAAGTTCTATTTTGCAAAAGGCGAAGAATGTTTTCAACATCTCCCTCGAAGTTGACAAAATTACCTTTGTGTTTCTGAACCAACGCCATTGGGTTGAAGCGAGAAAATATCCACACTTCACTTTGCTGTGCCAGAGTCTGGGCTCAATCGTCTTGGGCTTGGAGGCTGTCTGCAAATTTCCTCCAGATATTTTCATTGATACCATGGGATACTCCTTTACATTCCCCGTTTTTCGATATCTAGCCGGCTCCAGAGTTGGGTGTTACGTTCATTATCCTGTGATAAGCACGGATATGCTTAAGAAAGTGCAATATCGCCAATCATCATTCAACAACAAGGCATATGTTGCGCGTAATCCTTTCCTCACATGGTTAAAGCTTTCATACTACCGTCTGTTTTCAAAGGTGAGTCAATTTTTATGCATGGTTTCATAACACCTTTTTATGTAAACTTTAATTCCCTATGATTCACTGATTTCGGAATTGCTTCTATTTTACTTGCTTATGACGTGGAATGATCAACAGAACTGATAAGAAAATTATTTGCGCTTGTGGGTTAATTACTTCAATTATGTCTTCCATCAATGTATAGTTGAAATTGTTTTTTTTTTTTAATTTCAAAGGGTTATTTTAAGTTTGTAACCTTAAGAAACTTCTTAATATGTTTTTAGAAGTGAAAGATGTGAAATAATGGGAAAGAAGGAATTTTTTTTAATTGTATTCACCATTTTTAACTTATTTATACTTTCAAAATAAAAAAAACTAAATTTTATAACAAAAGAAGAATATTAAGGAAAAAACAATATTTCAAAAATTAAAATTTTAAAAATTTTTCAAGAACGAATGGTTTGTTTTACAATTTTAAGGAAACAATTTTTGTCTGTGATATTCATTCGGTTATTTTGTGTTTACACTAAAAGATAAAAATAAATTAAAGTCGACGCGAATTAAACAATTATTCTCTCTTTTAGACGTATAAATGGGTAACCCGCTGCTCAGAAACTATTATGGTGAATTCAACATGGACCGAAAACAATATTGTAGACTTGCTGAATGACCCATTGAAAATTCATAGAGTGTATCCGCCGTGTGAAACGAAACATCTAACAAGTCTCGAGCATACTGGAAAAGATGACGAGATCCTGATCGTATCTGTCGGACAGTTTCGTCCCGAAAAGAATCATCCTCTGCAATTACAAGTGTTGTATGAGCTGAGAACGTTGTTAGCTAGAGATGAGGCTCTGTGGAATCGAATAAAACTTCTTATAGTAGGATCTTGCCGACATGAGGAGGATTACGAAAGGTTACGTAACATGCAGGACCTCGCAAAGCATTTATCACTTGAAAACTCAATAGAGTTTAGAGTAAATGTTACGTATGACGAACTATTAAAGATTTTTCAACAAGCTAAAATTGGCATACACACGATGTGGAATGAACACTTTGGAATTGGAATCGTTGAATGTATGGCAGCTGGGCTTATAATGATTGCTCACAGGTCTGGAGGTCCTCTACTTGATATTATTGAGACTTCTGAAGGTTCCCAAAATGGGTTTCTTGCAACAGACGCTGTTGAATATGCAGCCAGCATATTAAACATTATATTAAATTCTGCAGAAGCAAACAAAAACATTGTTAGTTCAGCAAGGTTCGTAACTTGTAATTTAATTACAAAGGATAAACTCAAGACTGATTTTTCTACATTTCAGGTCATCTGTTGAGAGATTTTCAGAAAAAGAATTCGACGAGCAGTTCATACGTGCACTTTCCCCGCTTTTTGTTTAGCCTTTAACAAATGAAAATGTAGGAAATAATTAACTTATTGCTGAATAAATTACAATGTTCTTATATATAAAAGTCCTTCATAGTATAAAAGAAATATTAAATGTCAAGAACACTTCTTCCAGTTAACTAAACAAAATAGAGAGCTCACGATCATACTGGCCACGACGCGATCGCAAGCAAAGTTTCAACATCCTACATTTGAAAGGATCTACGGGACATGATTTCTTTAGAAGCTGTGAGGACGAAGGGGAGACCGAAGGCTTCCAGCATCACCTTTGTGACGGTCCGGTACTTAATTAGAAATTGACCCGCCGAAAAAGCTGAATTCCTACAAAGAGCGACTAATCAATTTCCTGGCTATCTCCGCACCTAAAAACCGTTAAATCATGTGGCCGCCTAGCAGCCAATATATTTTTTTCATATTGTCATATATTTCCAGTTTTAAAGTAAATGTATATTACTTATATAAATTAAGTCCATTTTGGCTTTTATATTTATTGTTTTTAAATATATGTTTGGTTAGAGCGGAGGGTGCTGCATGAAAAAATGAAAGCTTTGAAAGGCATGCATTTTTTTTAACTTTATGCTTTGCTTCTCTGATTAATAAAATCCAATTAATTTTTTAAACGCTACGCAAGTTAATTTAAATAAAATAATATAAACTACTGAAGAAACGTTAAATTCAGTTTCTTTTATTTTGAGATGTTATATAATACTATATACTGTATACACTGGTCTATTTCTGACTTGAATAATCGACCGAGCCATGGTCGGGACTGAATTACTGTTTTTTTAAAAACTGCGTATTTTCTTGCAGGTTGGAAAATTTGTGAACTTTGAGTACAAGTAGTACCCAATTTAACTGTTAGTTTTAAATATCTGATGATGATGCATTTCACAAAACGCTTCCCTGGAAATTTTTTTTGTCGCTATTTTTCGCCTGCTCTACATTGTACAACGATAAGAAAGATTTGCAACCGCATGTCTTCAATGTTGTACGCGAGACGATCTTGCGAAAACTTGATAGCGAAATTGAAATACATTGAGGGTATTCAGACAAATATGAAGTAAAGTCATTCGTTGAATAAAATATTTCAGACTATAAAATTTGTTTAATCCTGGCTGTTTGAAATCATGTATTTTAGTTTCAAAGGTAAGTGCAGAAGATTAGTACATAATCTATGTTCCCAATTATAATTTTGGGAATTAAAATGATTTATTGGGAATAAATATTAAACAAATCAAGTAAATATGTTTTTTTTTTTTCTAAAAAATATTTACTTCATGACCATTGTACTATGCAATGATTTCCGATGGTGCAGTTCAATATCAGGTTTTTCGAATTATTAAGTGAAAGTGATTAAGTAAAGAGAGTGTATGTGAGTATCCGAATTCATCAGAGACACTTTGAATTTAGAAATTCGCACTCTTAATAATTTTGTTGTGGTTATATTGTGTTAATTAGACTTACAAACTCTATACGTGCATAAATTCGAAATCATTATGTAACAAATTATATAACGCTTTTAGTAACCACTTTGATACTACTTAAATTGCCAAATATATATGAATACACAAAAATATTAATAGGTTTTTTTTAACAAAAATCGTTTGGAGTTTTTGGCAAATCTTATAAGTGTTATACCTCATTTGTAAGAGTATAGAAAAGTTTACTACAACACTAAAGACGAAAATTCGAGACCTGAACATAAAAAACAGTTGACGTTGTAAACGTAGTAAAGAGTTGCAACACTTGCTAAGTGAAGGTTGGTTTATCCTAAAGTACATATAATATATTTATGTACAGATGAATATATAAATAAAAATACTGCTTGATCAGAAAATACCTATTAAGAAAATTATTGTGCTTGAAAGCGTCGTTTTAAGTTCATAATTATACTTCTCCATCTTTTAATGGCAAACAAACAATAAAGAAAATGGACAAAATGAACCGTGACAACGATGAATCACATATACGACAATTTTTTGATGGATCGAACATATTTATAACAGGAGGCACCGGATTTTTGGGAAAGAGTAAGAAAATTTTTTGTAACGATTTTTTTTCGTAACTATTTCTTAAATAATCAATGGTTTATTTATCAGTTCTTATAAGCAAACTACTTACCTCGTGCACTGGCATTAAGAAAATATATTTGCTTGTGCGCCATAAAAAAAACAAGAGCGTAGAAACACGAGTGGATGAAATATTCGATGATCCGGTAAATATTCGCGTTTATAGTTTTATTATAATTAATAAGAGAAAGTGTAATTGTTTCAAACATATCAATTTGCAGGTTTTTGAAACACTCAAAAGAACTTCAGTGAAATATAGCTCTCGCATTAAAGGCATTTATGGCGATTGGTATACACAAAAGTTATCCGAAAAGAAAATTAAATTATACATATATTATTTATTTATCATTAACAGTCTACAACCTGGCTTGGGGCTAAGCTTAAATGATCGGAAAATGTTAACAGACTGTGTCCACATTGTCTTTCATATGGCTGCTACTGTGAGGTTTGACGAAAAACTAAAAACCGCCATTAAAATAAACGTTGACGCTGCATTTGATGTTATAAATCTCTGCAAGGAAATGAAAAATCTCAAAAGTGTTGTTCATATATCCACGGCTTATACACATTGCCCTCGAAAAACTATTGAAGAAAAATTATATCAGACGTTAAGCGACGCTAAAAGCCTTATGCTAATGGCGGAGTGCATTCCCGAGAAGTTGTTAGAGCATGTGACATCCAAGTAATTATATTAATTAATTCATTATTATTAATTAACTATTATTAATATTAATTTTTTATAAAAAGAACATGATTATCCCTAGCTACAAATAGACATTCCTGTCCATCAACATATTTAATGTAAATTTTGCTTATATATATATATATGCATATATATATATATATATGTATATATATATATATATATAAACAAGAGAGAATGTTGCAGTCGGGCGTAACCGACTGCGAAATAATTCGAAACTATGCGTAATAAAAGCTAATAACAGGTAGTTAAGAACAGGGTGGGTGTAGCCAAGAAGTACTGTCCAAGTTTGCCTTTCAAATTGCGGTAGATATAAGCTAGTAAAGTTCCTTCGAAGTTTGGAACCGTAGCTCTTAAATTATAGGAGATATGGGATTTTGAACAATTTTGGGGCGGGAGTGGGCGTGGCTGAAAAAATTATTAGAGAAGGTTCCTTGTAATCTTCCTTCCAAGATTTATAACTTTAGCGCTTAAATTACGGGAGATATATGCTTTTGAAAGTTTCGTAAACAGGAGTGGGCGTTTTAAAAAAATATTTTGGAATACGATCTTAGTAATTTACATTCCAAGCTAGGTAACTGTAACTCTTAAATTGCGGGAGATAGGCTTTATCGTTATTAGGATCGGGAATGGACGTGGTCCAAAATGTTTTTCTGGACTTTTGAAGGGTGTTACTAGCAATATACAGAAGTAATCTACTCTATTAGTAGTACTTAATGCCGATGCAAGTCTAGCTTATAGAGTGTAACACTGAATGGTATTTTTATTACTTTGTGTATTTACAGGTTATTGGGACAATGGCCGAATACATATACCTTTACAAAAGCAGTAGCTGAGGACGTTATTCGAATTAGTAGCGACCGTCTTCCCGTCGGTGTATTCCGACCTGGCATTGGTAAGGTTTCACTTCACCTGAAAACTAGGTATCAAGTGGGAGGCAGGTTTGTGAAGTAGCATCCCATTAATTATACGCAGTGATTTCGACATACCAAGATCCAGTGTGCGGATGGATAGATAACTTTTACGGACCAACCGGAGCGATAGCTGGAGCAGGCACTGGGGTATTTGTTATCAAAAAATAACTACAATCAAGAATCACTTACTAAATATTTTAGGTCCTACGAACTTTGCGCTGCAATCCGAAAGCAATTGCAAATATGGTTCCAGTTGACTTATGTGTAAACAGTATGATAGCTGCTTCCTGGGATATTTATGAGAGACAAAAGTAAGTTTTTTTTTTATAACTTCTAAGAATAAGCCGCGCACACCAAGCACACTTGGGTAAGACCGAAAGTCGAGAAAAATGTACGCCCGACATTGAGATGGATTGCCTAAGATGACCGCGATCTATTATAATACTATTAAATTGGTGGAGCTCTCTGTGGGGTCGGTGCTATTGGATTTTAAAAGAAATTATAGATGTGATAATATTTCTCATTGCAGTCCAATAAAGACAACTGGAAATATACCCGTTTATAATTTTTGTACAACGAGCGATAATCAATTAACTTGGGGTGAATTTACTACAAAAACCGCAAAATATGGCTTAATGTATCCATCTTTGAAGGCAATTTGGTACCTGTGTTATTCAAATACTACAAACAAGGCAGTCCACATGCTTTCAATTTGTTTTCTGCATTATTTGCCTGCACTGGTATTCGACATTCTTTGTTTGTGCTTTGGGAAAAAACCTCGGTAAGTATGAATTTTGAAAATGTTATATGCTTTCATATAAATATAAAATGAAAATCACAATCATCAATCAAAATTTGCCCTGCACAGATTTTTTTACCTTAAAATATTATTATAGTTATTATTTCTATTCTTAAGAAAGCTCAAGTTTTACTGAATTTTGTATTTTTTATTTATATACATGTATATGGTTTGGAATATAGAGATTGATCATTTCTTTCTTTTTCTTTCTTTATGTTTTGAACCTAATTTTATTTTACTTATTTATTAAGTGATGTAAGTGTAAGGTCATGTCATTTTATCGTATCGCTCCTCATGTTGATATTTACACGCTGGATGTGATGCTACTTGATCATAAGTTAAAACTCGATAGTCAATTATATTCATCGTCAACAAGGCCATTCAAGTTCTGCGTTTTATTAAGTGTTGATCAAAGAAATTTAATGACCTTCAAACGACCAGGATACTTTTCACTTCTCTTGTACGTCCAATTCTACAATATGGATCTTGTGTGTAGTCTCCGCAATATCACATTCATCAAAGTCTCCGCAATATCTTATAATCCAAAGTTGGATTCTGTGCAGAAGAGTTTATTTCTTTTTGCTCTTCGCCGCCAGTCATAACTGGGGTGTTTTGCCTCCATACACCAAAAGACTCCTCCTTATTAACCTTCCCTTCTTAACTAATCGTAGTGTTATGCTAGGTGTTATTTTTGTAGTTAAATTACTATAAAATTAAATAAATATTAAATGGCCAAATAAATGTTTATGTTCCTTCTAGACTGCCTCGTTACTTCTTCCCACTTTCTCTTAATTGTACTACTAATTATTCCTAGCATGAACAGTTTCGAGTAATCTGTAAAGACTACAACAGACTCTATCATGTAATCAATTCAGAGTCTTCCATTTCTATCATTAAGAACGTAAAACACTATTTCGCATGCACTTGTTGTGGGGCTTAACTAATTCATACTAATTTTTTTTGCCTGATTGCGTTTTTTTCTGGGTTTTTCTTAATTTACAACAAATTTTGAACCATTTTGCATTTAAATACCTCTACAAATCTTATAAATATTTCTTATTTTTTAAGTTTGTTTAAAATTAAATTAAATTCATTTTCTTTACTTTTTGTTTTTTTTTGTGTCGACTGACTTTAATCGACATTAGATAAATAAATAAGTAAAACAAAATTATAGCTACCTTTTGGTTCGGTTTGATAGAGTGCTCTATAAGTCATTGTTATCATTATTATCATTACTTTTTTGCAATTACAGACTTCTAAATACTTATAAAAAGGTTCATAAATTTATGAATGTTATCGCATACTTTTCATTGCGAGACTGGGACTTTAAAATTGATAATGTTCAAAACCTTTGGAGCAGAATGACAAATTTTGACCGGCACACATTTTTCTTTGATATGAACCAATTAGACTGGGATTTTTTTCTGCAACAATATTTCCGTGGAATTCGCCAGTACTTATTAAATGATCCATTGGACACTATACCAGAAGCGATGGTTAGATGGAATCGGTAAATATATCTCTTTTTCGAACACTATGATAGATGGCATTAATCAGCAGTCATTTTTATTCTCAGATTATATTGGTTGCATCAGAGTCTTAAAGTGACAATTTTAATTATAACCCTTTACATACTTTGTGCTTTTTTCATGAACTTAAGTAAAGGTTAGCATGAAAAACAATCTTATGTGTTTTAAAGACAAACTATTTAAAATTATTTTCTCTTTTAACAGCTATATGATACCCAAATCGAAGATAAGGACCAATGTAAAAAAAAAAACTAGTTCTGCCACATGTGGCGATTATTTAAATGGAAATAGTATGGATTTGAATAACACAATAAAGCTTTTACGTTTAACTATAACAATTAATTTGCAGCTTTTAGTCACCGTAATACTTAAAACTGTTAAATCAATTAAATGGCATCAATTATTAAATTTTAAATTGGTTATTTTAAAAAAATTTAGTTTGATTTAAATTTAAAATTATAGAAAAGATCTGTACCTGTTCGCACCGATCCACGCGTGCTCATATAAAGCTGAGTTTTTAATTTACTCGCGAAGTTATCGCACCTATATCAAGTGAAATAATGTCCTGCGTTCGCTCCTCGACACGTGAGGCCTGCAAAATTTTCGACGCGTTGCCTTCTGGGCAGAATAGGGCCTACGGGCACAGACGAAGCATGATACAGGTCTGTTTTATGATAAAAGTTAAAAGTACCTCAAAACTGTTTTAAGGCATTGCCCTAGTTCCTGATTATTATTATTGGTGTATCAAGTCAATTAAATTTTTCATGATGGAAGTAGTGTATTAACTGGATTATCATTTTCTTAAAACATTTTTAATATAGACTGTTTGTGTTTTTTGTTATCTTGTCTTTGGATTTTCGTTGTGAGAATCTAATTCTTCTTGAATTGATTTCTTTCACTGATCTTAATCATTTCGATTTTTAGCTTCTTTGTAAGAGAGTTCATTACGCATTTTTCTAATAATCTATAAGATAATTTAGATCGAGCATTTATTCTATCACTTCGTCTTATGTCTTTAATCTCAATATTTTCATCTAAGTGAAAGCATTCATAACTGGGTTGACAGTGTCAAGATTTGTGGAATTTTCTCTAGGCGGTATTGGATTATCCGATTTTTTATTAACAGACTCATTATTTTAAGTTTCTTTAATTAAGAAATCAGATTATTCATTTTCTTTGTTTGCATAGGACAATTCATCTTATTGTCCTACAACTTTATTTTGCAATCAAGAATCGTTTACCTATTGGTGCTCAGAGACTTCGTATTTAGAATTTATCATATTGGGTTCATCCACAACATCTTTAGCTGACAAAAATTTCTCCAATTCCATAATCCACAATTTGAAACCATTTATCTCATACACTTAATAGATTTTTAATCGAATTTTCGTTTTCTTATTTTATTAAGAACATATATCGTCGATCCAAATATCTTTAGATATTTTAATATAGGCTTTTTATTATACCACATTTCATATGCTGTTTAAAAAACCTCAACCCAAATTTGCTTATTCAATTTCGCTCCATAAATCTGTTGTCTGTTACTGTTTTGATCATACGCTTAGGATACACTATTTAATTGTGGAGTGTGTGGAATCTTTATATGATAGCTGATACCTTTTTCTAAACAAAATTCGCGCATCTAATTAGATACATATTCTTTTCCATTGTCTATATACAGATCCGCTTTTTGCAATAAAATCTATTAATGTAGAAAATACATCGTGGTTGTAATAATAATAATGTTTCTTATTGTCAATTTTAGTAGTAATCTTTCTTAACATGACCCTGTTTATCAACAGTTTAGTTTTGACTTAAATTAATTTTAATTATTTATTGTAATATTACCCTTTTGATCTTTTTTCGAAATTACTTTAAAGCAAATCGGACGACATCTGAGTATGAAACCGATGGGATGGAAAACAAAAATTATACATACGTACAACTACTGATTACTGATAAAAATCACTTACCGATAACAATAAAAATCTTAATTTAAGAGATATGTCTTTCTATTATTATATCATCAAGATCGGCGAAACGAAAAAATAGCGTATACATACATACATCGTCTATGTAATATTTATATAAAATGAGGGTAAGCACTCTTCAGTGAGTTTGAATTTCTAAGACGTGTTCTCGAGCATTCTATTACTCAAAAATACCAAAATGACGTATTAATGGATATCATCTCGATCATCGTCTGCAGTCTACAATCGAGCCAAGTATAGCCATGTTCATCTGTGCAAACTTGTCTAATTTAATCAAACCTTCAAAATCAAGATTGTTCTTTTAAGAGAAAAGAAACAAAAAATTGATATGAACTGTTTTGTACCAATTTTTCTTTAAATAATAAATAAAAACAAGCGTTAAAGTAGTTAGAAGAATGTTACAAAATGTCAATATCGTACTAATATATCAATTATTAAATTTATATGTGATTTAGATTCAGGTGAGCTGCGACCTGCAAGAGTATTTAATATTCGTCGTGTGTTCGGGGATTGGTGACTAATAATTCATTATGCACGGCTAACAATTTTGCTGATCAAGTTTGTTTCATTTGGACGATATAAATCAAATTGTGACACATGTTTTTCTCTTGAAGATTGTAAAAGAGTTGGGTATGTTATTATAGGTAGAGAATATTTAACTTTTTGGGTACTCCCCAGATCCCACAAAATAATGATGATCAAACAAAAAGAAACAGAAGATATGTGTACAAATATATGATAAGGTATCTCCTAATCAATCGCTTCGAATCTACATTTGAGCAAATAGAAATATGTATTACAGCACCAGGGGCAGATAATTTTTAATGCAAAAAGTTTGCGTATGATTTCTTCAAGTACTCAAAGAACTTATTGGGAGTGGCAACGATTCCTATTGCTCAATATGAATATTTTGAATAACGCGAAATCAAGGTTAGTCAAAAATTTAATAGGTTATTATTGTTGGTCATTTTCAATAACTTAATTGAAATATATTCACAAGCAAATGATGATAAGCAAGAGTGGGATCATTTAATGTGCAATGTCAATTTGGTAATGGTATCCAATGTGGGGAACGACCGCTATATATTTGACGGCAAGTCAATAATAATTAGTATTAATTTAATAAATAAAAAACAAATGTATATATCAGCCTAGTCCGCTCGATCCTGTGTTAGCTGTTTTTAAATCTTTTAAATCTCTCGTCAAAACTTATTTGAGAAGTTCCCTTTGCTTTATCATTCCATTTTCATCTGTTTGTCATACCCTCACCTCACCCTCATTTACATTTCATATTAAACTAGACTATTTAATTCACCCTTTGTCATATCTTTACATCAACAATATTCTTACCTAATAAGTTTACATTTTGAATAACTAATACCCTGTTGGCCAACATTAAGTTCTTTTACACATATATTATATTTATATATATATACTTTGATACCAAAGGTATCAATCGTATATTGGTTTTGTGCAATGTCCATTTGTCCGTCTGTATGAACGCAACTTTTCTCGACACCCTTACAGATAGAGACTTGAGACTTGGAACACATACTGGTCTGTGCCTGCGTCAGACAAAAAGTAACACTTGGAGTGCTACGTCCTTCAGGGGGCTAGGAAATCGATAAAATCGATTAATCCGCAAATCGATAAGGCCACATATCTCCCACAATTTTAGGCGACAGTCACCAAATTTGGTTGGTAGGTTGCTGGCGATGTCCTTCAAAGATTGGCATATGCCACGCCCACCTCCGCCGACTCCACGCTCCTCGCCAATAAAAATTTTAAATGGCTATATCTTCCGCAGTTTTTGAGCAAGAGCTGTCAAATTAGGTAGGTATGTTACTGGTAGCCGCCTTTAAGAACCTCACATACGCCCATAATCGTCAATGCCGATATTTGGGAAAGTGTAAATTGATAAGCACGCAAACCTCCCACAATTTTAAATATAGAGTGACCAAACTTGGAAGGTAAGTTACTGACCAGACCACGCCCACACCCGGCGGCCCCAGGAACTTCGGTCATAGAAATCTGAAATGTGCATATCTTCCAAAATGTTAAAAGTTTTCTACTGGTAACTCGCCTAAGAGGTCGATAAACAATGGGATGGCCACGCAAACTCCGCCTTCCTAAACCGATACACCTGTTAAGTGTAAATCGATAAGACCATATATCTGAAACATTTTTAAAGCTAGAGTCATCGAATCTGAAAGGTATATTGCTAGTAACACCCTTAAGAAATCCGGAAAAACCACTTTGGACCTCGCTCACCCCCGCCCACAAAATATACAAAAGATAAAAGCCTATATCTCCCGCAATTTAAGAGCTACACGTACCAAATATGGAAGGAAAATTACCAAAAACCATCTCTAATCATTTTTTCGGCCACGCCCCCAAAATTTCCAAAATCCCATATCTTCCGTAATTTAATAGCTACAGTTACCAAACTTCGAAGGAACGTTACAATTTGAAAGGCAAACTTGGACAGTACTTCTTGGCTACTGTTCTGTTCTTTATAACATGTTATCCGCTGAAAAAATGTATGGTATCAAAGTATTTCGATATCGGCTACGCGCGACTATAACGTTCTCTCTTGCTTAATCGTGATATTGACCAAATAAAAAGTATATTAACTGCAAGCAGTGAAATGTTTAATTATAATAACAATCGTAATAATAATATGTTCAAAATTATTTCATCAGGTACTTAAGAAAACACTTTGCTGCTGGTATTTTAAAATAAGTGGTTGCTTAACTTTACAAGATGTGTGATTAAAAAACATTACGGACTTAAGACAGTAGTGCTATTTTTTTTCGTATATAGAACCGTTTTCCTAAAAGCTGTATTTTGGAAATCAAAAGTCGAACGCAGTTGAAATCAAAGGCTTATATTTATTATACACATGTGCATCTAACACTTGAAGATGATTGGAAACAACTAACTTATTATATATACAGAAGCAATGCAAAAAAAAAGGGACATAGCTTAAGTGTGTCCAAATTTCAAGTATTAATTGTCGCCATGTTGTTAGTAAAAATGTTCATGAGGAATTTAGACTGTTTTAAAAACATATTTTATTTCTTTGTATAAGGTTAAAATATTTTAATAGTAGATTACTTAAAAAATAAAACCCGGATATTTGTATTTAAAGTGTTGTAAAACCCTTGGTGACTTTTGACGGAAACACGTTAATTCACTTTTCTAATTTAAAAAAATCATAATACATTATGTATTCACATATTTATTTAATATGTATTTTAAAATTACGGTTTTCAATAATTTACACTAAACTAAATAAATTTACAATAATTTATTACTTATTAGAATAGATATTGTACCTAATTTTGTATTAAAATTTTTTTTAAAATACGATTTGCGTTTTGTTGCAGTATAGTCTATCATTTTTTATCGTTGTCAAGTTTATTTTTATCCAGAGATGATGATACCATTCCGCCTCCATTAGAAGGGTACAATTTTTCCAAATAATTTAGTGATTCGTTAAGAAACGTCTGTAAATGGAAAATGTTTAGTTTTTCATCTTTATAAAAAGTCAAAACGTTGCGGTCGAAAGTTTCCCACTGCTAAATACATTTGCTCAAAGCAAGTTAGTTTTGGACTTGTTATATTTTTTTAATGAAAACTTTGCCGAATAAAGGCAGAGACTTGGCCCGTTCTGGGGTTCAGGCTGGTGCGTCAAACTAGAAACTAGTCAGAGCCAAACAAAACATCTCGGAAAGAAGCGAAGAAGTGATTTTTATATTTGAAGATATTTAATACGGCATTTGGTGCTTAAATATAGAAAAGCCTAATCGGAAAAACTGTGAGTCTAATGAAAGCGATTAATATTATTCCCAATGCACATTATCTCTTGATTTAGGCTGATTTGCATCCTTATGAAGCTAGACGGGTAAAGCGCCTCAAGGAATCGCATGAAACAGAATCAAATATCTTACCAATATTTCTGCCGCTGGTAAACACGAGAATACAAAATTTTTGTCATCTTGAAACAAGATTAGTGATTACGATCAGACGGACAGGCCAAAGACAGACTTTCACCAAACTCAATATACACTTTTAATAATTACCTGAAAAGCATGGAGCACAGCTATTATTGCAGGTGAGCCGAATCCATGCGTTATCAACGAAAAGTGAGTTAAGTGCCGCTGCATTGAAGGCTCTAATAAATGCTGTGACCTTGTTCCGAAATGCGTGGTTCGATCTTGACTAAGAATTTGCATCAGCTCTTTTGTAATCTAGAAAATAATGTTAAGGAAATCGATGAGCTATGTTTTGCGCTAATTATAATTACAAAGGCTATTTTAAGACCGTGCATCTTCTTTGCAGACAGTATATGAAAAAACGTGTGCCGATTAAAAGTGTATTAAATCATTTTAAGGCTTATACTCAACATAAAAGGTTAAGTGTGAGTGTTGTTAAGCACGCTACTTAAATCAGTGCAACACAATTTTTTTGACGCAACTTAAAAAAAACCAACAAAATTGAGATCATTTATTCAATTACCAAAGCGGAAAATTATAAATTATAAATTTGAATCATTAATTTTAAGAATTAATTTCATAAATAAAACCTCAGTCTAAATGATTACATAAGAAATTGCAAGATGGACTGAACTATTTTTTACCGACACAAAGTCTTTTGTCTGTAGGTACAGATGAAGATTAACTCATTTCATTTATGTAGAACATTACACAAATTTGTTAGTAGTATTTAAGGCTAGATGGTGTGCATATTATGAAATCGTATACTAAATGCAATAGGGAGCTAAGCGATGCTCCATCGAAAAAACTTACCTGTTGAGAGTGAAGAATAATCTCTTTCCGCCGATACGAATCCTGGGGTTCCGTTTGATGGCGCACAATATATTCTGCCAGTTGCCTAGCTGGAAACTCAGTTTCGCAAACAAAATGAAAGTCTTTGGCCAAGTGCGTTGCTTCACCCTCGACTAAAGATGTTAGCAGTGTTACGTTTGCAGCTTTTCGCCGTCCGGCTGGTAAGTTTAGTCCTATCTTCTCGAGCTTTTCTCTTAGTAGCCGGCCTCCATTTTTGCTCTTTGCCCTATTTTGGAAGGCATATTGTTTTTAATTTAAGTTTATAAGCTGTCTGCCATAAGCTTACGTTTGCTTATTTAATTATTGATAATCAACACGCAAAAAAGGATAAGGTAAGCAAATGTCAACATATTGCCTATTTAGTTATTAATATTTCTAGTTATCAATATTACAGACATTAGATTGTTGAAGTAGATAAACGAACAAGCTATTGTCATTGGGCCTAACTTAAAAATTTAAATTCAACAGCATATATTTTATTTTAATTATTAATCAATCTTAAGCTTAATCTATGAAAACTCACCTTCTTAGAACACCACCCAGTAAAGATGCATTCAAGCACTCGGGCGGCGACAATCTACGCTGGACTTCCGCAATTGTAACCTTATACTTTGAAGTACTTGATAAAAGACTGAGTCTGCCAGGGACTGCACAAAATACTTCACTTGGCGATCCTGAACCTATGCTTCCAGCGTCCTTCCCACTTTTCATGCCTGTGAAGAAATCATGCCATTTACATTCAACTAACAATATGTATTTACAGTATAGTTTTGTATATTATAAAAATATACATAGTGTTTGTAAAGAAATTTTTGTTCTTTGTGTGAATATTTTGAAATTGAAAAGTGTGAAAACAGCGTGCGTGGATCATTTTACAATAATCCTGCCAATTAGAGGAGCCAGCTTCAATTTCATCACATACATTCAGGGGTTGATGCGCATTGTTATATACCCATGTTTGTGGTACCGCCTTAAACTCTCCGCCTATTTATTAATTTACAGCGAGGATCTACTGCACTTGGAACTAAGAATACACATACATATACAAGCATTATTTGTGAATGTGGTTCTCGTAAAAATTTCAATTTTATGTACTCATTTTACTTTACAGCTTAAAGGTGAGGTAATTAAGAATGTTACTGAATGTATAACGCACCTCAGCCATGATTTGAATATAATATTATTGTTATATAAATGTTAATTTAATTCAATAATTTATTAATTTTTAATTTATATTATATCTAGGGATATATTGAATTATTTTAAAGTGTCGCAATATATATATAATTTGCAACGGATTCGAGTCTGATGATTATATTAAATTATGTTGGCATAGCCATTAAAAGCAAAAATTATAAAACAATAAAAGTTATTTTAAAAACAAAGATTTTTAAAATATTTTCATTTCAATATTGCAAAAAGATCCATATGTCCTTTCACAAAATCTACTATAAATACCTAGTTTAGTTATTTGACTTCTTATTCTACTATGTCCTGTCTGTAGATCGGTGAGTATCCTAAGCCTATTCTTCCCCATGGTTATTACTTGCTTAAATCGTTTATGATTATAGCCACCCTAAGGAAATCTGGCTTGTCGGAGTCCTTGTGTATCTGCCCAAGTCCGTTGTCGCCTCTGTCTTTCTTCGTTTCTAAGCTCCAGTCATATCATATATATACCCCAGATTTTAGATAACCTACCTATTTGTATAGAAAATAACTTCTTTATAAAAAGAAGAAATGGACTACAAATGAATTTGTGTGTACTAGTAATGTTATAATGCAAGTCATAAATTTAAACTTACTTTTTATCAGAGGTAAATCTGACATAAAAGCCACATTATCATCCAAAGCAGGAGCTTGGACGTCATCAACAGCATTCTGCAACGCTTGATGCAATGCTAGAGATTCATGTTCATGTCCAAGTCTGGTGCCGTGAGCTGCTCCTGCAGATATTGCACTGCCGTAATCACTTCTTCTTTCCGTGTATGGAAACCCATGGGATAGTTGAGTCTGTGCAACGAAATAAAATAAGTTAATGTTGCAAAAAACGTATATATTAAACGTACAAGCAAACAGGCCTAATAGATCAAAATTCCCGCCTATTTTCGGCGTAGATATAATTTATACCTACCTAAAATATAGATATATATATATTTCAAAAACAGGCAAAAATGTGTTTACTGGAGAGAAAAACTAAATTGAATGCAAAACAAAAAATGGTCCCAGGCTTGATATAGAAGAAATACTAATCCTACAACTTTTACTAGCTTTAACATTTTATCGGTGTAGGGTGTTACTATTACTAGTCAAGCTTTCAATATTTCCTGTGATTGCAAATTGTAACTATCAAATAATTAAAATTCTTATATTTCTTCAATTATGGGCAGAGCATAGCCTTAACAAAATCTGGGGTTGAAGCAGGCGAAAGCCGAACCAATCCAAATGTTTAGGCAATCATGTATTTGTACGGCTTTCATGCATGAATGCGTGTGTGCGTATATGTGTGTCAGTGTATATATATTAGTGTGTGTGTGTGTGTGTGTATGTATGCGCACAAGCGCTACAGGGGATACGCCTTTTTAACCGTCAACATCGAAAATGCCCCAGCTGTGGTTGCACAGAAGCACTGTTCGTAAAGTACAGGCGAAAGTTTACGAGTATCCTGCTAAATATAACGCATACATGAGAACGTACTACGCACATACACACATATATAGATGTATGTATGTAAACCCTTTTTTCTTTTGGGTGAGGAATTTTCGTTGCTATTTACAAGATGTTTCAGCGAAATCCCAAGAAAATTTGTTAAATACTTCATAGCATTTTTTGTGTTTCATAATGCACTTGAATGGAATTCAAAATGCCATAACTTTGCCAATAGTTGTAAGAGTGGGAATCTCAACTGCCAACCCTATAGTATATTATTTTATAAGCAGAGTTCAGTCAGCTTTGTAAAATGCTTAAGTAAAAAAAAAAAAACAAACAAACAATATCAAAAATATGCGTAAGTAATCCTTTTGGAGACGAATATTAAATACACTTACAGATCATTGACAAAGTAAACACTTATTATCCCCGTTAGATAGTAGCAAAAAAGTTAATAGCATATGTAAAACAAAATTCGGTGAGTTGGGTTAAGATATCTGTAAAGATATATCTATCCCCCAGTCAATAATAACGACCAGAGGCAGTTAGTCCATTCCTTATGGACAGTATTTTCCGTTATGTTCTCTAATTATACTAAATACTTACAACATGGCCTTGCAAATCGTCCCTATGAGTTCTATGAATGCCCAGTTGATCCTGCGTGGATCTGAGGCCTGCCAACTGATTGTAGTGATGAAGAGGGGCATGGTGCAGTGAAGATAACGGTTGGCCGTAGGGATCCGTTCCCAAGTATTCGAGCGGACCATGGTTCTGAAAATAACCAGAAATCTAAACTATTTTGGAAATGATACGTCCAACTGGTGTGGCATCACATTATGGACCACTTACCTGTTGCTGGGGAGGGCTTTGAGCTGAGTGGTGAAATGGTGGCGGAAAGTATGGAGGCTGAAAATCAGACTGCAGTGATTGATGATGCATGGTGGCCGTCGACCCATGGGTGCCGCTATGTCCACTGTGTCCGGAGGTTGGGCCACCCCTGCCCGAGTGGCCTCCCGAATGTGTTGTATAAGCCGGGCTACTACTAGAAAGACCCAAGCTACCATGGCCACTAAGGCGTTCCTGTAATTCAAACAGTTAATTAAAATGTACAATTAAAATACATTTATATTTAATTTAATATATAATTTAGAAGTCAATACAAGTGAGAAAACCTTTGTAAGCGATTAAAGGTGCAATGATGGTGTTCTAAATACGAACTTCCATGGCAATATCTATACTATATTTTGATGTCACAAATATTTACACATTTCTAGCCAGAATGACAGTACGACCATTAATCAATTATGAAATCAGATTTTATCCGCTCTAAACATAAATTCTGGTTTGTTTAAATCATTTTAGCTCAGTCCACAAATACATATATATTTCTGTTATGTTTAAGATACGCATTTTTCATAAACATACAAAAATTCAAAAGTCGTTGTTCCACGTTTTACCAACAACGATCTTTTGTTGCTGATTATAAATTTAAACTTAAATTTATATAATGTTGCATTAATATTATATTGAATAATTTGCACTTCCGACTCCATTACAAATTTCATATCACCAACCCAATACGGGTTATCGGATTATTTAATTGCCTTAATGACACACAATGACATTTGAGTGGGTATATGACAAATTCTTAACAATTTATTTTGACTGTAGGAATCGGTTGCGTATCGATGAAGTTCAACATGTCAGTTTCTAGCGATGCTTTGAAATCTTATTCTATTCTTCAAAGTTATAAATCTCTTTGGTTGTGTTCTAACAATAAGTATTTAACCGACACTATCAGGCAGATTGCCGACGGGCTTCTCGTAAAAGCCGTAAATTCGGAAGACTCTTAGAAGTCGTTACTCACTTGAATTTCAATGACAGCAGGCATATCCACATAGGATAAAGTCATGTTATCATATTGTAACTAAAGCCTTAATTTGTATATACATATTTTGCTCTTATTTGCCAATATGAACGAATAAATCACTCAATCACACAATATATGTATATGTATATATTTATATATATATTTATATTTTATCAATCACAGAAACTTTTTCTTAGATATTCAAATATTACAACTTTTGTATTATACATTTGTTTGATTCGAATACGATATTCTTTGTCCGTTGTATGAAGCTCTTAACAATATTTTTCGTAAGTACGCCAACGGTGGATTAACTCAGAAAACAAATTCAACCCGACGGCGACGACAACGACAACGACGACAGCTACGACAGCGACAGCAGTCCGTGGAAGCCAAAAACGAAATGAAAACTGGTCGCGACCGTGTACCGACAGGGCAGCAGCAGCAGCAACATCAACAGCGGCAACAGCAGCAATAGCAGCGGCAGCACCACCGCCAGCCACGGCAACAGCAACAGCAAAAGAAACAGCAGCCGCATTAGACCAACGCTCGACGCCAGCGACGCGTCTCGTCGAAACGCCCGTCATAGGCGTACAATGTTTTTGCATTCGCCAGCCAGAACCAAGTATAAGAAAATAAATATGTAGTGTTCGTGTACAATTTACACACGTATGTACAAAGCCAGCAAGTAAGAATGCTCTTGCCGACAAACAGATACCCTGCAAAGCCAATGGCTGTCCTTCTTTCATTCAACGCCAAAATTTTGAAAACGTACCTTCCACATTAACAGTATAAATTGAATAAAATAAATTGCGAAATTATATATACACTTCTCTACAGCTGTACAAAAAAAGAAACATTCCATGTACACATAGTATATGTATGCTAGAAGGGAATATAAATATCACATTTGCAGCCCCTAGCTTATATGTACATATTATTGACGGATATAGACGTATTTTGCTCAAAAGTAGTTATCAATGAAATGAAGAAATCTGCATTCAAAATTTTACATTTTATACTCATATTGTCTCTGAGATCGATGGGAAAGACAGATGGACTACCCGGCTATTAATGCTTATCATATCAGGCCAAAAAGCAAGTTTTTCAGGGGAAATATATATTTTTTAATCTTGGAAGAATTTCTGTCGTTTACGATATAATTTAAAGTGAGATATTTTTGAAGAAAAATGGTGCTCAGGGGCTCGACATATACCCATTGGTGATTTAAATCTATTGTTATCCCTACATTCTTTGCTTTTACATACTTTTGCACAACTTAGTTATCCACTTTTACTTGTAATTAAGCAAATTAATTATTTGGGTAAGTAGTGCTTTGTTTTATAAATTGATTCAATTGACAATCATTTCCTTGATATACTTTACAGCTGTGAACCCACTAAACTAGGATTTTGAAATGTTATGGGTTGAATTAATAATCTGTGAAAACTGTATATACATTTATAATTGCTCTTTGTCGACCAAGTTTTCTGAAGGTTTTCTTACTATTTTATTTGCTAGAACATCAGGTTTTTAGCTTGTAAGCTTGTAAGACTTGTAGGTTTTAAGACTTGTTTGCAATCGCGAGCATCAATATTTGTTTCAAACATAAGAATGTTCCAAATTAATTATGGGAGTTTTTTAGCTGCTCAAAATATAAAAAAAAATCAATTATATTTTTTTCTTTTTATATTGGATATTTACAAATAACGTAATACGTTCTTTTTATTTGGACTATCCGAATATCTGTTTGTCATGGCAGACCATTAAAGGAAACAGACTTTAGTGCAAAGGTCGGAATTTGGGTAAAACAGTTGAATGAAACTTTTCATTTCATCCGATGAGACTCAAATTTATTTTCACTTCAATAATTTAATTTAATTTTAAAGTTTAATCACATCAATTAAAGCAGTTCGCGCTTTAGAAAGACTAAAAACTTACACGCCGGGCGGAAAAGAATTGAGTACATCTGAAGCCGAGGAATGTCAACTAATGGGTCTTTTTGATAGAATCATTCACCAAAATGGGCACCACATGGAGCAAGTGAGCCACAAGTTTATTCTCTTTTCTTACACTTAATCCATCGCAACGCTATGTCAAACACTTTTGGTCCTTGGAATAAGTACGGGTCAAGGGATTTCTTATTTGGCAGCTTGTTCCATTGTCGAAACTTCAAGTTTTTGGATACACGCTGTTCTTAAATGCGAACAAATATACCAAACATATTAAGTAGAACTTTCAGTTCAAAAATTAAATTTCCTATAAGAAACGGCATTGTTGAAATTTGTGTATGTGCATATTAATAATTTTGAAAAGCACCAAAGACCAGGTCATGCAAAGGGTTGATCGCTAAGCTTGTGTCATACACTCTTACAGACCTACAAGTCTAGGTGTGTGTGTGTGTGTGTGTGATTGAGTGCACAGTTTGTATGTATATGTATGTGTGCTTAAATACACACACAAAAATACAGCACACTGACTTTGGAAAAGTGTTGTTAAGAGCAGTGGGCCGTGAATGGCTTCTGATATAGAAAGCCATTGTTACATCCTGTTTCGCATATCCTTAGAAAATACCGGATGTGAAAAGATTTAAATGATATTGTGAATAAGCCATAATATAAGTAAACTGCAAAGACCGCTAATGTCGTGTTATTCATAACTGCTATTGTTGGTTTTACAAATTTGTACAAAATGATGGTACATATTAGGTAAGAGGTAATTACGGTTAGCCTAGTCTGGTTTGTGGTAATTATATTGAATAATCCCTAGATGACCAGAAGATATATTAATCATTACGATATCATAAAATAATAGCTAGGTAGTTAGTGCACAGTGTAAATATGTTGAGTTTGTTCGAATTTAATTTTTGATTTCAATTTATTTTCTTAAGACCTTGTCATCTAGTAAAATGTAATGTTCTTCAGTGTAGTTAGGGGGAAGATGCAGAATTAATTTAAACATGTATGACATATTCTTTTTATAAATAATAATAATACGCCGAGTAACACAGCTAAAACAGTAAGTTATCAATGTTTTCTTTAACACACAGTAATTTTTTATGTCCAAAAACCTTATCCGTTTTTGCTATGTCTTTTATGTCTGTTCTTAAACTTTTTTTTCTCAATTTATTAAAAAATGATTTGCTCTACCCAATTTTGTTATAATTTTCATTTTTTAATTTATATATATATGCTCTTAAAATAAAATATGCTAATAAAGGACACCAGGGCATTGGGAAAATTGTTATCATAAATAAATTTGTATTCAATTTAATATCAATCTAAATCTAAATCACACATAAAACATTTTCGGATGTTAAAAAAAAAAGCTTATATACAAATAATTAGGTGTAGCAAGCGATAAGGAATCGATAAGGTCATATGAATAAACACGCTTGCCAACGGCAATTTATATGTATGTATATACAACATTGTTTTAGTCAATTTCGCATTGATTAGTGAGTATCTGTGTATGCTACTATTTATACCCAATAAAAATAAAAAAGAAAACGATGCGCCCGTTAGAATCGAATGTTTTAATAGTGATAAACACACATATATACAAGCATACATATATACAAATATATTCAGTGTATAGGGCCAGCGCGAACGTGGCAATTGCGATCTGGACACGACTTTATTGTGGTTTTATAAATTAAAATAATTTTGATTGATTACTTTGGATTATCTTGTCATTTGCCAGCATCAAATAGAATATTTAACGATACTGATAAACCGGTTTGCGTTTGTTTTGTATGAATTTCGGCTCTTGGTTTTTTTACTCAAAAGATTTCATGCAGACTCACGGAAAAATGTGCGTTAGCGCTTGATCAAAACCAAAGCTAGACCCAGACTCCAATTTACTCCGTAATATCTGCTACCAAGAAAAAATGACTTAAGACAACTTTTGCTGCCAAAAGTGGCAACGAAGACACAGTGTATACTACTCGCTGAGGTCTTCAAATTATATACATTTTAAATTGCTGGTTATTTAAAATATTTAGACTCCACATCGTTCTCCACCTTCGCTCTCTAATAGAGAACCGCTTATTCATATTCATACAGTACTATTTAACATAGCATATTTCATATCGCACTATTTAACATAGCATATTTCATATAAAAAATACGTAAAAATATCTATGATAGATTGTCCCATCAGTGTGCAGTATTTATTTTTGTGACTAATACAATCATATGTAAGGAAACTA